TTTAATATCATATCATATCATTGCATGTATTTTGTTTATCTTTCATCCCTTATTTAACACCATTTGTTATTAATGCTTATCCATGTGTCTAGTCTTCATATTTCACTTTCAGAAAAAGACCGGTTCTCTCCTCTTAACCTGCTTTTTAATTAAAAAAAAAAAAAAACTCTGTCGGTTATACACACTACTCTGTCATTTGTGTACATTATTTACTCAGTCAGTTGTAAACATTTACCATGTCGTTTGTACACACCACAAGGTCAGTTGTGTACATTATTTAATCGGTCAGTTGTAAACATTTGCTCTGTCGGCCTTTGTAAACATTATTTACTCGGTAAGTTGTAAACGGGTAATCTCTTACTTTTCTAAAACATGTTTCCCGTCTTGATTCAAGATTTTACAAAGTAAACGTCTTAAAGTAATAGCCTCTATTTTTGTTTGGCGTCTTCGTTTAAGAAAAACCCGTCTTACCTTAAGTTTGTAACATATCATTTAAGAGGAGTGACATGTTAAAGTGATCTTAGAGAAGTTTTAAGATGTTTTTGATTAGTTTGAAATCTTTTAAAGGTGGGCATCTAACTTAAGAAGCAAATTGTCTTTGAGAAGTTAGATATAATTTACTTTTGCTTAAAAGTATGTTCTGTATACCTACAAAACGTCTTTCTGGAATTTCGTAATTAAGCTCAAACTCTGTATAGATTTGTTGGGAAGCCATTCAGGGATGAAAATAAAATGCAAGGCAACTCAGATGCTATCGCGTTTTAAACTTATGTTATAGATGATTTAAAACAAAACAATAGACAGAAAAATTATTCTTGAAAATTTTTATTTAATTCTGGAACTGATGTATTTATCCTATTAAATTCGCATCACAATTCGATCATCGATCCGTACTGATACGCGAAAACATGATCCGGCTAAGTCGAGCACGCGGCAATTCAAAAATCAGCACTAAACCTTCTGAAAACGTGTGCAGAACATGTATAAGAAAATTCATATTAAAAACGCAATTTTCTTAACCATAATGTACAAAATGTACCTGAAATTCTTTGAAAGCTTCACTGCCACGGTTAAATTTCACGACAAAACGAGCGCAACATGATCAGATTCCTCGAAGGATCGAAGACAAATAGAAAGGCAAACAGTGAGCATTCTTTTGATATTCTCTCTCCATCGATGTCTTTAAACAGTGCAAGTTTTCAACCTCGCAAAGTGAAATTTTACGCAAAAATTCTTCGCGATTAGTTTTTTTTTTTTTCTCAAATTTCGGATCAAAACATCCAAAGTGCCTCTCGTTGGTTTACCTATGATGCTGCTAATCACAGGAAAATGGCAAAACAAAGAGAAACCGCCAGTGTGGAAAAGATTTACTGTGGACGACATCTTCTGTTTATAGGACACACAAAAAAGAAGATATAGAACTCTTCATTGAGAAAGCCAATGCTTACCACCCTACTCACATCAAGTTTACTGATGAAATATCAGAAATAAACTCTTGGACACAACAGTGTACAAAGAGGTGGGTAAATGGGGGCGGGAGGGGATCGTACGCACGTATCTGCATTGATATTAAAGTGTAGAAATAACGCATCACGAGGATTAAAATCCCGCGCTCACGTTTCACGGAAATTTCCCAAGTAAAAGGACAGTGCAGTGCATGGCAGGACCTGTTCAGAATGCCGCTGTCTGCAGAGTTTTTGAGATGTTTCAGTATTTCGAAACGATTTTACCTTCAGTGGAAAGCCTTTGATATTCTCCACAAGATGAGGTATATTTTAGTGGGTGGTGGCGCTGCTGGGGGGCCTGTGACGTCACCAAAAATGGTCGCCATCTTGGATTTTACCAAGAATTAGAAATCAGGCTTAAACCGCGAGAAATGGCGATTTTTTGTGCTTGAGAAGAAAAATAACACAAAATAAGAACTTTGCATGATTTTAGCCACAAGATTTACTTGAAAAAATACAAAGTAATCAACTTGAAAATCATGTACTTTCACTAGGAAATGGCTTGACCAACTCCTACTTATGACGTTATATCTCGTAACCATAGTTAAACTCATCGCCAATAGATGAGCTTGGGTACTGGTGCCTTAAAGGTTGGACGGGAGCCTGAACGCCTCAGAATCCGCAACGATTCGCTAAGCCCCGCAAAGATGAGCTCAAAAATGCCAGCGTGAGATGCAACGTAAGTCACAAGATAAGCAAAAGGCCCCTGCGGTCACCCCACGGATCACGTACGCTTGAGGAGGAGACCGCTGACCGCATTAAATTACATTTAGCCACATAAACTGACCATTACTGAACTCGACTCAAAATGCGCGCAAGGGATGAACGAACAGCTACTAAAAACATCAGGTGCTGATGTTTTGGCCTCTAGGAAAAAACTCAGAAAACCTCGGAATGGGGTGGCATCCACCCCCTTGTACGTGCGAGGGTTAATATTATTTTTACTTTTTTTAGATAAAAATAAAAACACAAGGAAAAAAAACAATGCTATGAAAGCCTGGAAAAAGGAGAACCTGAAAATAACGAAATCTCAACATTGGTATCATATACCTACACATTGCAAGTTATTCGATTCTCAACCCTTTATTCCAGGCCTTGTTGCGTAAAGAAACAAGAATCGCCGAAAGGCGATTTTTAACTGGGCTGCCAAGGGGTTATTTTTTCTGAAAGGAAGAAGGCGGGCTATACACACTCAGTAGACTACAGGCTACTATAAAACCTTGTCGCCGACCATTGCGTGAGACAGAATCTTGTGTGAGACTGAAACATAAACTCATTCAGAACATTGTAACCTTTTGAAAGACTTTCATAACAAAAAAAATGAGTACCATTTTTAAGTGGGGGCTGTATAATAACTTTTAAATTCCACCATTATGAATAAAAATAAACAAGTTAGTCATTAATTCTAAGCAGGAAACGATTTGCATTATTTTCACGCACCCCTCCCCGAATCCCTCTGTCTCCCAAAATATAGCGTGACAATATAACGTGACTAATTTGACGTAACCGGACATTCCAAAAATAATTGTATTTCTACGAGTATGAAGTGCGACAGGGTCAGCTACTCGCCACTGGGCTAATTTACACTAGACAGAAATATATTGTATTGGATGAAACCCAGAAGTTTACTAAAACAGACAGCCAACTGCTCATTGATCATGATTGATCCCGATCCAGGGGCCTCACTGACTGCACTGAAACTTTAAATAGACGATCATAATCTGCGGTCTACAGTCTACACAAAATAAGAACTTTGCATGATTTTAGCCACAAGATTTACTTCTATTGTTGAAAAACAGTTGAAAATCATGTACTTTCACTAGGAAATGGCTTGACCAACTCCTACTTATGACGTTATATCTCGTAACCATAGTTAAACTCATCGCCAATAGATGAGCTTGGGTACTGGTGCCTTAAAGGTTGGACGGGAGCCTGAACGCCTCAGAATCCGCAACGATTCGCTAAGCCCCGCAAAGATCAGCTCAAAAATGCCAGCGTGAGATGCAACGTAAGTCACAAGAAACAAGAATCGCCGAAAGGCGATTTTTAACTGGGCTGCCAAGGGGTTATTTTTTCTGAAAGGAAGAAGGCGGGCTATACACACTCAGTAGACTACAGGCTACTATAAAACCTTGTCGCCGACCATTGCGTGAGACAGAATCTTGTGTGAGACTGAAACATAAACTCATTCAGAACATTGTAACCTTTTGAAAGACTTTCATAACAAAAAAAATGAGTACCATTTTTAAGTGGGGGCTGTATAATAACTTTTAAATTCCACCATTATGAATAAAAATAAACAAGTTAGTCATTAATTCTAAGCAGGAAACGATTTGCATTATTTTCACGCACCCCTCCCCGAATCCCTCTGTCTCCCAAAATATAGCGTGACAATATAACGTGACTAATTTGACGTAACCGGACATTCCAAAAATAATTGTATTTCTACGAGTATGAAGTGCGACAGGGTCAGCTACTCGCCACTGGGCTAATTTACACTAGACAGAAATATATTGTATTGGATGAAACCCAGAGGTTTACTAAAACAGACAGCCAACTGCTCATTGATCATGATTGATCCCGATCCAGGGGCCTCACTGACTGCACTGAAACTTTAAATAGACGATCATAATCTGCGGTCTACAGTCTACATGAAAACGCACTATTTTTTCCACGAGATAAAAAATATTCAGTCTTAAGATTTTCCTCTTGGTATTTTTCCCTAACTTAAAGGAATAACATCCTTTGCATTTTGTGACCTAAAAAAGTTTAAAGATTTCCCGCTTGCATGTTGCTTTCATCTGCACGCACTTTAAACAATGTAAATAGATGAAAAGATCGATAACATATTTTTTTTACCTGTTACCGATATGAGTTAAAAATTCGCTCGAGTTCGCTGTTTGTCTCACGAAACCCATGACTAACTTTTCTTCATGGCAGATAACTATGCCGCGTTATAACTGCTCCGAAGTTTTTTTTTCCAGCTAAACAATATGGAAACACCATTCACAGTCCTTGGATATTAAAAAGACTGAACGTAACGCACAATGTGCCCTTGTTTACCTCTGATCACATCTCCAAGCGAACTCTCTCTTTTCAAGCGATTCATTTCATTACACAATAATTGACCCTTATATTAATTAAACCCTATGGTTCATTCATATTAAAACTGTTTTTGCCCCTCACATTTACTGTGTTCGTTCGTATTCAAAACACCTTTAGGAAAATAAAGGTCGTGTAAGTCATCTGTATTATGTTTCGAGATAAAACACCCATTAAGCTAATGGCTTAATGACATTTTTGTAAAGGGCTAATTTCCTGGTTGTTTGTCTTATCTGCATCTGGGATGGAGATAGGGAAATAGTTAGAATTCCTTGCAGGCTCCAATCATGCAATCAATGCTTTGTGATTCATTGTTGGTTCAGATAGCAACATTGTTATTTCTTCGTAGCATGCGTAGCGCTTACGTGTAGTTTTCTCTCTCGATGTATAGTTATGGCTGAACCTCGGGTTTTGATTTTGGGGCACTCCTTCATCAGGCGTTTGCATGAGTTGGTACGTCTGCCTACAAACGCTTTACGGGGGGATTTTGACATCACCACCCCTATGAACCTGTGCTGGCATGGAGTAGGGGGACGAACTGTGGCCAAAGTCATACGCTACGATTTGGAGATAGTCCGACAATTTTCGCCTGACATTGTTATTCTACAGTTGGGTACATAGGTATCTATAGTTAATTGAAATTAACTATAGATACCTCAATTATTAAATTTTGGATTCATTTACAAAATATGCCAGATAAAAACATAGCAAAACAATGTCTACAACTCTCCCAGGAAATGGCCGATAACAACCAGCCAGGTTTGATGCAGAAAATAAAAACTATATGTAGCAAGTACAACGCAACCGCCATAACATTGAATGAAAACAACGAAAAAGTCTTCACCTCTTACATCAAGCAAAACATCAATAATGCTCTAACTGAGCATCAACTTACCCTCCTTAAAACAAATAGAAAATTGAATTTTTATACTACCTTTAAGAACGATAATAAAAAAGCAGAATTCTTAAATATGATTAAAAACCCACTTCACAAAACAGCACTCAATAAATTTCGACTAGGAAATCATCGATTACATATTGAAACAGGCAGACACACAGTACCTAAAACTCCCGAAAATTTAAGAATATGTTATCTATGTCAGACAAATGAAGTTGAAAATGAACTTCATTTTCTATTCTTCTGCAAACTTTATGACAATTTACGTTCAAAATTCTTCAGTGAAATATCTGATAGATATACACTTTTCAAGGACTTAGATGTGACTTCAAAACTTTTATTTCTCTTTAATAGTATAGATCCCTCTGTTTGTAGATCAATTGCTGCTTTTGTTTTTGAATGTATGCGTTACAGACATGATATGTTATTTCAGAAAAGAATATAATCTTTTTATTTTGCCATATATTTATAAATGATATATTTGTACTTTATTCATAAATATTAGATAGGTAATGCCATGTATAGATATGGAAATACCTTAATAAATTGTTGTTGTTGTTGTTGGGTACGAACGATATCAGTGATCGTTCAATCCGTTCTGCTCTAACTGTCGGTTCACAGTTAGAGGACCTAACAAAGCTATTACATGAACAATTCGGCGTAACCGTGGTTTGCGTGTGCCAAACTATACTAAGAGAGAACGCGCACTTAAACGTACGCATTCGCACGTTGACGGATTATTTACGCGTTGTCCTACAGCCCCGGCCTTCCATTTGCATTTTACTGGAGACACAGGGGATTTTGGAGGACAACACAGTCATTCTTATTGCACGATGGAGTTCATCTGAACCAACGTGGACAGTTTAAACTTTATCGAAGTTTGAGGGGGGCTTTAATCCAATCACTTAAAGTGTTTAATGATGTACAAAGTTAGAGTCTTAGATCTGTACTATAGCTCATTCTTTCCTCTTTATTGGACATACCGCCAAATTAAATATTCTTTTTGCGTTGGTACTTGGTGGTGTAATTCGCCATTGTACTCACAACGTATTGTTTGTCCTTGAGCCTTGTTTGGCCGGTCACGGTCGATTTTATGCTTTGTCTCCAAATGAGTGGGCCGCCTGTGTTGCGTGCCATAGCACTCGGAGTCCCAAGCTATTTGTATGTATTTGAGGATACGAGCGTACGATCTAATGACAATTCTTAATTTTAATACCGCATTTATTTGACCTGTGGCAGTTATTGCGATACAACTGCAGATTACGAGTTACACGAGAACATTAATACGTTTGGATAAATTAACACTCTCTATTCTTTACAAGTATGCCTCCACGAAGTAAGCGTGCGAGACGTTCTGGACCTTCTGCCTCTACAGTAAACAGCATGGCAACCAGTACCGCTAGCACGTCGAGCAGCTTGTCAAATAGTACCTCTAATCAACCAGACGGCACGATGCAAGTACATGTTACAGCGCTGTCCAGTGCCCTTTCTCTGGCTGTCCAAAAGGCCGTCCAGGACGCGCTACGACCACCACCGTCAGTAACAACGTCAACTAACGCAGCATCAACGTCGACCGTGGTGTCCGCCCACGTGCCTACTACAGCCTCGATAGTCCAGGATTCTGTTGTGCAAGCGACGCAAGCTATTGCCGGGACTTCTGGAGGTAATATTGTACCACCTAACGTGCAGAGTATGCCCACCACACCCCTTTTTTCAAGCGTCGCCATCCCCCTTGGAAGTGCAGTTAGCGACAAAATAAAATCCAAAATTTGGGCTAACGAATTTGTACACCTTGGAGCACTGCTCCAAACCGCGTTTCCACAAGAGCGTTTTGCTCTTGGGCTTTCGGTTACAGGCAATGGCAATAAGCCGCAGATTACATTAGAACCAGCTAGCGCCCCACGTTAATTGAATAGTATTCAGCAGTGGGTCACGGCGTTCCACACGTTTATGGCCATTTATTGCCAGAAGTTCGCGGGGGACACGGCCGCTTTGCTAAAATATTGTGAGACCGTTCGTGCCATTGCAAACAAAAACGGAAACTGGGCTTACTATGATGAGCAATTTAGATATTTGCGCCAGTCCGCCCCCGATAGGTACCCTTGGGAGGAAGTCCAGTGGGAGTTATGGCTCGAAGCCACTTCAGTTAACTTGCCTTTTCGTCCCCAGAGAGGTAACTTTCCCGCCGGGCGAGTCGGAAAATCACGACAAATCCCTCTCGTTAAAGGAACATGCTTTAACTTTAATAACGGGAGGTTCTGTTCCGGATGTTCCTTTACCCACATCTGCTCCCGATGTGGAGGTAAGCACGCAGGCAGAAATTGTTCAGAGGGAGGGGAGCAACCAACCTCGAGCATTAAGCCTAGTGGAACAACAGCGGCTAGCGCGTCTACTAGAGAGCAATCCAGTCACCCCCGTAAGAATTGACCGTCTCACTTCAGTTCTGCGTGATTACGACCCCTTATTAACAAACTTTTTGATACAAGGCTTCTCATATGGGTTTCATATTCATTACTCTAATTTAAGATCAAGCTTCGAATCTCCAAATTTGCTTAGTGCCAACGATCAACCAAACATCGTAACGGATAAATTACACAAGGAAATCGAAGCCGGTAGGGTTGCAGGCCCATTTAGCGCCCCGCCGTTCGATAATTTTGTCGTGTCACCATTAGGAATCGTCCCTAAGAAAGCACCCAATGAGTTTCGACTTATACAACATTTGTCATATCCGCATGGGAATTCGGTAAATTCAGGAATTCCGGTAGACATTTCTTCGGTACGCTATGCGTCCATTCAAGATGCAATAGTGTTTGTAAAACGTTTAGGAGTTGGCTGTTATCTCGCTAAAACTGATATCAAATCTGCCTTTAGAATTATTCCTATTCATCCGGGGGACTATCCGTTACTGGGGATGAAGTGGCAAGGGAATTATTACTTCGATCGCTGCCTCCCGATGGGCTGTAGGTCATCGTGCGCCATTTTTGAGCGATTTAGTACGGCACTCGAGTGGGCCGCCAAGCAAATCTTTCATGCCGACGAGATAATACACGTTTTGGATGACTATTTGTTAATAGCCAAAAGTAAGCAGTCTTGCGAAAATCTACTGTCACGGTTCATTTCACTTTGTAACTACTTAGGCGTTCCCATTCCGCCCGAGAAAACCGTAGGACCCGAGACCGAATTGCCTTTTGTCGGGATTACTCTAGATTCTATTCGCATGGAAGCTCGATTGCCGGAGGACAAACTCGAGAAATGTCGCACGATGTTGCTGGATTTTTATAAGCGGCGTAAAGTCACGCTACGCGAACTTCAGTCATTAATTGGCCTCTTAAACTTTACATGTTCAGTGGTTTTGCCGGGTAGAGCCTTCTTACGGAGGCTAATCGATCTTACGAGAGGAATTCGAAGGCCCCATTTTAAAATCCGTTTAAACAAAGACGCCAAAAGTGATTTAATCGTTTGGCTATCGTTCTTGGAGCAATACAATGGTCGCACATTTTTTCTGGATGAAAGAATGTCCGCTTCACGATATGAAATTACTTCAGATGCAGCCGGTTCTAAAGGATACGGGGCTTTATTTAAAACACATTGGTTTTATGGTAGTTGGCCCGTGTCTTGGCAATCACTGAACATCACGGTTTCCTATCGTAATTGCGTTACATATATGGGGGGATCAGTTGGCGGATAAATGTGTAACGTTCGTGACCGATAACGCTGCCTTAGTGGACATAATCAATAAGCAGACGTCTAAACATAAGATAGTTATGATTCTCATCAAGGATATGGTGTTAACTACTCTTAAATTCAATATTTTCTTTACGGCTCGTCATCTTCCAGGGAAGCTTAACGAGCGCGCCGACTTAATCTCCCGTTTTCAGATAGAGCGGTTCAAGGCAATATCCCCTGGAATGGACGAATTCCCAACGCCAGTTCCCGAGAACCTTCAGCCCAGGAATTGGTCGCTCAGTTGAACGAACTTCTCAATTCTAGTCTAACAGCCGGATCTCAAAAAGCGTATCAGCGTGCGTGGACGTGTTATCGGCAGTTTCATGCTAGATTCTACAGTGCTTGCGAAACCCACCTAATCCCTGTGTCAATTGACGCCTTAGCCTTATTCATTTCGTACCTTAGCTCCAAAAAATTTGCCGTTGCTATTTTTCACTCATATGTTTCGGCCATCGGCTATGTTCACCGTCTTAGGGGTATTGGTGACCCAACGAAATCCTTTTTGATACAAAAGCTGTTGACGGCAACTAGCCGAAATAGAGTTTCCGATATCCGACTGCCAATATCGCGTCCATTACTTCACCAGTTAGTAAGTTCGCTGAGTTCGACTCATTCCTCGGCGGCACAAAGGAAGCGATATGCTGCAATGTTTACGACGGCTTTTTATGGTTTCTTTCGCATCGGAGAGCTAGCGGCCTTCTGCAATATGACGATCTTTGTTTTATATCATCAAACGGGCGCATAAGTATGTCCAAGTTGACAATACGCAAATTCAAACACAACACAGCGAATAAAGCCTTTGAAATCCTAATCGCAAGAGAAAATTCTGTGTTAGTTTGCCCAGTCCAAACACTACTTGATTACTGTGGCATGAGGGGCGCTGCTCCTGGTCCTCTATTTTGTGAAAGTGATCTGCGCCCGGTCACCATCAGTTCGTTCAATACTGCATTAAAACGTTGCCTTGTTTTTTGTGGTTTAGACACGAGCCGTTACAAAGGCCATAGTTTCCGCATTGGAGCCGCAACTCACGCTTCCGAGCAAGGTTTCTCTGATTCCCAAATTCGCAGACTTGGTCGCTGGCAATCTGATGCGTTTAAATCGTACCTCCGTTCAGGTGCTTTGTCGGCTAATGCCCAAAACGATTTAAGCTGCTAATTTTGACGTCCCTGATCTAGTTCAGACAAGGGCTGCTATTTCATGGGCACGCGAATTTATCCTTTCTAAATACTCTAGAATAGTTCAGTCATGGGCTGCTATTCTTGCTAGATTTGGGCTATCAATCATTTCCTTAAGGCTTAGTGTTAGCTGTACACAGTATTAAGCGACACGTTGCATTAAGGCAAAGGTTTGTTCAGACATGGGCTGCGGACTAACTGTCTTGTTCACGGGTGGCTAAACTATCCGCGCTTGGATCTAAGTTTAACGTTACGATTTTACAAAGCATAGGTCTGTTCAGACATGGGCTGCAGGCCGCCGCTGCTTTTCTATACGATAGTCCTATTTGTACATGTCGTTCAAGCATGGGCTGCGACGTCCTTTTGCATTTATTTGCCAGTAATTGTTGGCCGGTGGGGTGGCCACAGGTTTGTGGCTTATGGCGGGTTTTTCCCCCACCTTTGATGTTTGAGATCTAACAAGTTACAGTTTCTGTATATTCAATGTTTATCATTTATTAAACCGTCACGCTGGTGGCATATTTACTCCAATTTCTAGTAGTTGTCATCTCTCTGCGCATCAAACTAGGCGCCAACAAACAGATCACGCAATTAGCTTTGTACACGATGATTGGCCCTAAACAAAAATGGATTTTACTCTTTTTTAAGTTCCCATTTTACGGTGACTTCAGTTTACATCTCCATAAAATGGAAAAGAAACATCAAGAAACATCACGCAAGCTTAAAATTTACAAAGGCATGTTTTTTGAAACTTGCTAATGTTGACATCAATGCATCTGATATATCGTACTTGCTGAATGGGCGAAAACACAGAAATGTGATCACAAGATCATGTGCAAATTTAATGATAAAAGCTTAGCAAGATACATATACAAACAAAAGCAAACCCGCTTCGACCTGGGCTACACTTGTATGCTCTCCTATTTTCCTCAAGTCGGTCTTTGTGAAGCTCCCAGATGGGATGTTCCGGTGAAGCTTTGAACTTGTGTGCGAAATTCTCAGAGTTTCTATTTTTGTCCGTGTCTTCTTTATCCTCAGTATCCAAAATTTAGACCTCCATAGTGGCGTGTGTTGCATTAAATAGAAGGAAATATTTAAAGGAAAAGCCAGTCTTCTAACATGGCAAAGTTGTCACGTCCCTCGCTCATGGACGTGCGTAACATCAGGATTCATCTGACAATCATCGGCAACTGAGTTGTTCGCTTCACTGAGTGCGACAGCTTACAATCAAGTCTTCAGCCATAGTGTCATCAACTGGTGAAATACTTTACTCATAAATTGTGCTTATTAATTGCTCATATACTACATCGATCGATAATTCTCTCTTTGAGTTCACGAAGCAACCCTGGCGTTCCAAACCTAACGCTCACAGTCATCTTTTAGTGTGAACCTACCGTGAACGGCGTGTGGGTTTGCATGCAACGTGAGCATTTCTCTGAGTTTCCCAGCGCCAACATCATCAACTCAGGGCTCAAAGTTTAAATTTGAGTTTGGGAGCACTTGCATGTGCTACCAGATGTAAATTTTTAGGTGCACTGCCGAAATTTTAGGCGCACAGCTGAAAATTTTAGGAGCCGTGCTTTTAATGTTGGGAGCATCTTTTTCAAAAGAAAGAGTAAAAAGCTTAACAGTGCCACGTTCCTTTGTCATCTTCAGTTTGTTACTTTTACTTCAGTCCTGTGATTGATAAACCACAGCCGATTTGCTACGCAGTAATACCGTTGTGATTTTTAATACTAATTTCTCTTTTTGACAGTACAGTTGTGACTAAGGAAAACTTACACTTGAAAAACAATTCAAAACTGATAACAATGAGTGTGTCGAACAAGAATGAAAATTAATCTTTAATGAATTTGTTAAATGCGCAATGACTTACATGTAACTGGGATATGACTTAAAACTTTCTTACCTGGAAAAAAGGCTCTTAATCCGCACTGTTTTTGTTTTGATTGACCTTAAAACTGAACGTTCGACATGATCGTCAATTGTGCAAAAAGCACGTGTTTTGTTCAGGGGTGTTTATTACAAAACAGAAGAGTCTGGGATGGAGTGACGGATGGAGTAAAACATCGAAACGAAAAAGAACATTCGAGTTCATAGAATCCATTGGGAGAAAAGACCAATTAAACATACACTGCCTTTCTACTTCGAGTTCGTAAGTATAGTCGGAAGCAAGTCAGTCGCACTGTGCTTTGGGTTTTGGTGCACAGGTGCGATTACACATGAATTTTTAGGCGCACAACCAAAAATCCAGTAGCATAATATGCGACTAACTGGTCGCATATTATGCGACCAGTTAGTCGCTAGCTTTGAGCCCTGCAACTGACTTAAACTCGAACAATAAAAAAATTATAGAGTGACTCCTATGATCGAATCACTTCGAACAACGCAAATAGCCTTCTTCAGGTTCGCAACGCCTTCTGGGTTCCTGGTGGGGCTGAGACGAGGTACAAAAAGTATTCGTGCCGGGGTCCGTGCAAGGGAAAATCCTATAAAACCATTTGTGAGAACGTCGTTTCTCGGTACCAGACCCTTGTGTCTTCCCTCCCCCGAGAGGCCGTTTTTCTACATAGACAACCGAAAACCGAATTTATAACTTGGCCGCACAGGCAGCCCAGTAATAATATAATTATAACGACTAGAGGTTACAATCGTAATTATTGGGAGCCGGAGAGGTTGGTCCATCAATCGGTTGTATGGTCCTCTCTGTACATTAAATTAGACATGAAGTACAAAAGGACCGCAAACGAATTTGCCGAAGAAAGTAGGATCTATAAGAAGACCTGATCAGCCAAATTAAAACAAAGTACAGAAAAGTAGACACATTGAATTCTGCAAAGCTGATCGAATTACGTGAAAATAAACTTTGCAAGACATCAACACGACACTGAAAGAACCCAAAACAAAGCGGGGTTGTAGTCGTCGACAGCTGTTTCGCCATTATTGTGGCTTATCAGGACGGCGAAACAAACAGAGAATATCTGCCGAAAAATAAACCGCTCGCTCTGATTTAAGCCCTGACATTGAACTCCAACACCGACAGAATTACGCTATGTCGACTATGGCGCTTTTTGGGGTCAAAATTAAGTGATACATTTTACATGGCGAATTAAAGTAACCCATACATTTTGCATGGCGAATTAAAATAACCCATACATGTTACATGGCGAATTAAAATAACGCAAGCATTTTACATGGCGAAATAAGATACGCGTGCATTTTACATGGCGAATTAAGTAACGCATGCATTTTACATGGCGAAATATACAAGGCTTGATACATCTGCACGACGTATGAAAGCTTGACAGTAGCCGACATTTTACGTGGTTATGAAATAAAAGTTACCTTAAATATATTAGTATCGCATTTTAAATACACGAGAGTCGTATTTATTTTGAATTAATGGCGAAGAATCCGATGAACTATCGTTTTTGAATCGGAGAAATACTACTGTCTGATGGAGGTGTCTAGTAAACTCAGGCCTGGAAAACTCAGACCTCAGACCACGGACCCCAAAACTCATCTCTCTCCTCCCCCACTGGGACCACTAACTTACTGCCTGGCGTCAGATAAAGGCTTTTAATGAGCCTTTGAAAGATTTTTCATTGGATTAAATGGACAAGAAGCAGAATGAGTTGATTTTTTTGCTAACCCGGTTTTCAAAAGTCTAGGTTTATATCATTCAGTATTTTCTTGATGTAAATAGACTCATGTTTATAACTGTTGAAGTTTTCTTGCTGCAGGCCGTTGTTGACTTTGACATAAATTTTGGCCATTATTCAAATTATACAAGCAAAGGGGTGTAAAATTTTGTGCGGGAGGAATAAATGTTGTTGATGATTCATGAGTAATAAAACGAAGCACACATATATGAAGAGTTGTATCAATTGTTATTTAAAAAATGGGTAGGCATACACATATCAATAATATTGGTAGTTGTTGCTGTTAATTATTCACCTTAAAAGAGAATTATAACCAAATTACTGGCAAGATTTTATCCTTGTTTTAACAAATATGGGTATTACACACAATCACTCATGTATTAATGCGCGGGTGGGATGACCCACTTTTTCTCGTGAACAATTTGCTATTGATGTTATTTTGGGACGATCGATATCCTTATGGTGGGTTCTTGGCCATGAAAAGTTCTGCTTACGTTTACGTTTAACTGTTGCTAAAATTTGCGCTCTTCTGTGAGCATTGTTTGTCAGTGCTTTTTATACATTGTAGCGGTATGTTGATGGAAGAACGAAGCATACACATACTGATCGTACGTATTTTGTTGAGTAAATAGTCTCACGTTGGTAACTGATGATTGCCTTGTCGTGTAGCACACTATGTGATATAATAGGTTGGATCAATTGGTGTTCAAAATGAATGGATGATCGAGGTATACAAATATCAAGAATTTTGTTGTTGTTAGTTGTAGACCGTTCATGGAAAGCATTACAAAATTACTGGACAAGAACTTATCCCAGTTGAGGTATCCATGGGGGGAAGAAACATGCACTGACTCTCATACAGGCGGGTTTCCTTGGCCCCCCTTTTCCCTTCCTTTTAATGTCGAACAATTCTTGGCTATTTTTGTTACTTTGCCTTATCCATGGCCTTCTTTACCTTTCTTCTTTGCAAGTCTGAACTTTTGCTAATTAATATAATAATAATATTCAAATTAAAAAAAAATATGTACATAATTTACAGAAATATTTGAAGTAAGAATTAAGCACTATGTAACATCAAGAATTATGTAAATCATAAAAATAACAATCACTGTGTCAACAACGATTTCGCAAATACATTCCTTGCGGCTCAGATACGGTCAATAACTCGTGCAGGCAGTCCAGAGTTTTAAATTAAGTCATTACAAAAGAGAATTATCCGTCGCTGATATTAACAAGAAACAAGTTAAAAAGAATAAAATCTGGTATTTCTTAATTCCTAATTCTTTAATTTTTTTTTTTTAAAAAGATTAATTCGGGCAGGCTCTAATATTTTCGATCTGTAGGTCTAAGTCAACAAAGTCTAGCTGTCTTCTTCTGGATCTTGAGCTTCTCAAGCATAGTATCGCAGAGCGTACGATGGCGAAAGATACTTTAGCTCTTATCCAGGAAACTGCGCAATCAGCTCCGCAAGTCTGCTGTGGTACTTAACACACTCATCTGCTATTCCACCTGTGGTCGTGGAAACTAGGGGAGTGAACGTTCCCTGTTCGATCTCCATTACCCTTTCCGCATACTGCCTCTTCTTCTCCTTCTCATGCTTCTTGTAGATCTGCTTAGGAGTCAAGTCTTTGTAAGAGTCTGCATTAGGGTGACACACCCGAACGTCGAATAAGGTCTCTCCCAAAAACCTCGAGCATGAATATCCAAACGGGCATCAGGGGCTTTGTTAGCGCCATGATTTATAGTCTCCCCGGTGACCTCCTGAAGGACCGGCTCTACTTCCACATCATTACAGACCATCCTTAGCATCTCTGCTTCCAAGTCGCGCAGTTCATTATGGCGCTGGATAATGAACCCGCCGCGCTGAAACACTATTGCGTGATCCACGCTAAATTGAACATTGCATGCGCAGAGCATGGGCGTGTCCGTTGTTTCCTAGTCGTACCGTAACTTGATTGCATCTCTAAATTCCTTCCTATTCAGTTTGTAATCCAGCTCTTTGAGGGGAATTACGGTAAGCCAATTTGTTCTCTGTAGCTAACTCAACAGCTCGCTCAGCTTTTGTCGGCAGGGAATTCTTCACTTACTTGTTTTCGTGTGCTCAGTTGCAGTGTTTGAATTTCTGAGGCATCTCAGTGAAGGCTGGTGCTCTTGCTCAACAATTCGCCTCACGAGCGGATTAGTAACTTCGATTGAAGCCTCGTATTCAGAAGATGAGGTCACTAAAGGATCTGTAAATTCAAGGCCACCCGCGCGCATAGGGAGACCAAGGAGGTCGCGCTCTACTTTAGTGACTGTATGGTCAGTGACAGCTGGTATGAGAACCTCATTAATCGCGCGCTCGAGTGGCTCAAGTAATTCTGCAATATCCGGTAATGTTCTTAGGAAATATGTCCAGCGGTGCCGCAGACCAAAAGTGAAGGCTGCATAGCTGGCTTGAGGCTGTGATATGGAGAAATCTGCGAGTTTAGTAACTTCATTGACCCATTTGTCTACTTTCTCGCCAGTATTCTTCAAGGAACGATCTAGATCCTAGAGCCGCGCCTAAGGGCTGGTGGCCCATAACGAGCTGCACGGTCTTAGCAACCAAAAAAACCCCTCAGTATCCAGCTGAGATAGCTGAGTAAAAGTCAGCTATCTCAGCTGGATACCCAGTAGATTGCAACATTCCCTATTCCCTTAATCTCTGATCGTATTTCGCATCTAATATGATAGAGGCGTCAATTTTCACGCAATCATGTCATCATCCTGGGGTGACAAACAAAATTAATTAAAAATGCGGTATCAAACAAAATGTCCGGAAAAAATAATTCAGTGCATTCTAAAAAGAACATTTTAAAGTCTGTGGTCGATTTCACTGCCAACGTGTTATATATCCTAGAAGCGCTCAGGCATAATAACATCATGCCAGGACTTCTACCTGGGTGAACCAGAAAGGATATAGAACAACTGCCTATTTTTTTTTTTTTCGGCTACGGGTCGAAATGCTAAACGTGTTATATATCCTAGAAGCGCTCAGGCATAATAACATCATGCCAGGACTTCTACCTGGGTGAACCAGAAAGGATATAGAACAACTGCCTAAATTTTTTTTTACGGGTACGGGTCGAAATGCTAAACGTGTTATATATCCTAGAAGCGCTCAGGCATAATGATATCATGGCAGGACTTCTACCTGGATGAACCAGAAAGGATATAGAACAACTGCCTAAATGTTTTTTACGGCTACGGGTCGAAATGCTAAACGTGTTATATATCCTAGAAGCGCTCAGGCATAATAATATGCCAGGACTTCTACCTGGATGAACCAGAAAGGATATAGAACAACTGCCTAATTTTTTTTTTACGGCTACGGGTCGAAATGCTTATAAACGTGTTATATACATCCTAGAAGCGCTCAGGCATAATAATATGCCAGGACTTCTACCTGGATGAACCAGAAAGGATATAGGACAACTGCCTTTTTTTCTACGCGTCGAAGTTCTAAACGTGTTATTCTTAGAAGCGCTTAGGCTTAATAATATGCCAGGTTTCCAGCGACTGATTTTAGCTGATTTTGCGGTGCGCAAGAATGGATAATTTACCCGACTTGTAAACAGATATTTCCTTCAGCCGATTGTGTCTCATGCAGGAGAATGTCATGTCTGCGTTGTTTTGTTTCTACTGAAGTTTTATCAAAGAAAGCTTAATAGGGAGATAGCAATTTATACTTTTACGAACTATAAATTAGGGCTGACCTGGAAGACGCGTTGAATTGTGCCGCCATCCTTCAAAATATAATCCGGCTGCGTTTAGGGAGACAATTTCCTTTTCCATCCAGATTTACTTGGTATATGTGTTTGCGAGAATCTTCAGACAAAGAATTGGGTATACACTGATTCGAATGGCTTGGCGATACTAAGTGCTTAAGTCTACTTACCGATTACAACATGTTTTGGAAGTATTGAGAAGCGCGCCAAACGAGGTTGTCACAGCGTTCTCGAGCGAACACGGCGCGACCTGGATTGACAAAATTACTATTACATGCAGCTATAATGCCAGTGATTTCTCCTTTCGTCGCATAGTGAATAGTTTGTGAGCACATCCTCGACTCTCGAAACATTTGTCTTGCGCCGCTATAGAAGTTGCTTCTCCCGCGAACCATAGGTAGATTTCCCGCTTAACATAATGTTTGATAATTTATGCAAAAGTTGACCTCGTGAAAGTCAGCAGTGCATTAATCGACTCAAAAATAAACAGACTTCCTACAGGGTTTTGAACACGGTTTTAATTAAACTAATTTACGAGCGCTGCGGTAGTTGACCGCAAAAGTGTTACGGTGATGGATACTCAACTGGATGATTGCGTCACTTCATAGCAACCAGACGGTACGAATTTCTTAACTTCCGGAGCGCTGAGGCTCGTAGTGTATGGTGACGTTAATAGCAGTGTCTCTAAACACCTCCCTGGCAGCCTGTTCTCGTTGCGGTTTGATGATCAAGCAACATTTCTTGGCATTAGGGAAGTAACCCAGCGGAGGGCCACTCTCTGATAGTTGTTATTGTTGCAATTAAAATTCTTGTTAGTCTCTAGACATAAACTACAAAAGGACCGCGAACGAATATGCTGCAGAACGTAGGATGTATAACAAGACCCGATCAGCCAAATTATTCAAAGAAGACAAATTGAATTCTTCAAAACTGATCGTACTACGGCCAGGCACTATTTGACTGCATTTCACACAACTTAAAAATTTCTTAACTGAAATGACACCGGTTTGAAACTTCACGGAGTCAGAACTGAATAAATGTCTTTGCCATTCTCCTTTATACAAGTCTGAACTTTTGCTGAATTTATTCCTATTATAATTTCGATATTTGTTAGCGTGTTTTGTTGTTGTTGTTGTTGTTGCTGCCGAATAAAAAATTCTTGTTACTTTTTTCAGGCTTCCAGATGACCTTCTTTACCTTTTCCTTTTAAAAAGTCTGAATTTTTGCTAAATTTGTTATTTTTCTTATTCTTGCGATATTTGTTAACGTTTAATGTTGTTTTTGTATTGCAATAAAAAATTAATATATTATTCTTGTTAGTTTTTCGATTTTTGCGAAATTTTCCAACTTCCTTTTTAGGGTCTTCAATACCTTTTTCTTTGTAAGTCTAATTTGTTTGCTATATACGTTGTTATTCTTGCTGTTCGTGCGATAAGTTATCTAGGTGTTTTTTGGTGTAATGAAATTTCTTGTTACTTTTGCGATTTTTGCGGACTCAGATACTAGATTTTTGCAAGCAATTTCTATTAAATCTATTTTTGCTAAAATTGCGACAAACATTTGTAGCAAAGTTTTGCTACAGTTTGCAAGCCTTGTTGAATTTGTTATTTTTTGCTATATTTGCTATTTTTTCTATACATTTCTGACAGTTCGTTTAATTTTTTTTGCCAAAATTGCCAAAACAATTTGCTACCAAAGTTTTGCGACCCTATTCAATCCTGGACATAAGTGCAGAGCTATGGATAGCATTACACAACTCTTTCAACCATTTTAATGAAACAAAAATTAATAAAATATTTGGGGAATGTGGCCTCAATAAAGTGTTTTGGTGGTGAAACGGGTACATATCATACATCTTGCCTTATCCGGAAAACGAGGATCCTCATCTTCGTTGCTGGACTCTTCGACTAACTGGCTTAAAGAACTGATGCTGGCGTTAGTTTACAATATTGTCAATCAACTTTGCAGCGCAATAATTCACTGAGTTTCTGCCACAACTTGCAATGTGAGGTCGATTGGGTCAACAAGTGAGTTTGTGGCTGCTTCTGTCGGAACTCGAATGTCTAGATTCCTATTTGCCCTTATATGTCCTTAAATTTGAGTCTGAAGGATTTATAAAGCCCTATTAGCCACATTGTATAGACTGTAATAAAGTACTGTAAATTTATTTCTGTATCGGGTCGCCGTTTAAAAGTAACCAAGACACATCAATCATAGGGTTAATAACCTATATTTGTTAACCCTCGGTCAAGCACGCAAATTCATACCCCACCGTAGTACAAGGGAGTGGGGGGTGATGGAATCCCTCCCTAGAGGGTCTCAATGGGGTGGTGGGGTGGTGGGATTTACGGTTATCGGCTAAAATTTTGGCTCGTTTACGGCTATCGGTTAGTTTTTTTCAGTTACGGTTAACAAAAAAGTTGAAAATTAACTTCTTTTGTTTAAAAAAGTTTGTTTAAAAAAGTTTTTTAAACAAAAGAAGTTAATTTGCAACTTTTTAAAAATATTAATTAACTTTTTTTTTGTATCTTTAAATCAAAATGAAGGTCTTCGGATCATCTCGGGATGAAACAAGCTATTCTTTTGAAAAATTTTAACATTTGATAGATCATACTTTTTATAACGTATTTCATTTCTAATATTATTTCACACATAGAAATGTCCGATAGTCAATATAAAAATAATCTTTATGAAAAAGCAAATAAGCTCTGCAGCATTCTATTATTTGTACAATATCAGGAGGATAAGGAAATATCTCAGCAAAGAATGTACTGAAACTCTGATACATGCCTATATTTCTAGCTGCCTTGACTATTGCAATAGCCTCTTATATGGCTTACCAGCGTATCAGATTCAAAAACTGCAAAGAGTCCAGAACTCTGCTGCACGTCTTGTATTTCACGAAAGTAAATTTTGTCATATTACACCATTGCTCAGAGCCCTACACTGGTTACCCGTAGCATATCGAATTGTTTTTAAAATTTTATTGTTAACTTTTAAGGCCATTCATAAACTTGCTCCGACTTACATTTCCGAACTTGTATCACCGAAAGACACAGGGAGTACTATCTTAGATCAAATGACGGCAAACTTCTTAACATTCCATCATGCAGGTCTCTTTCCACGCTTGATGATCGATCTTTTTATATGGCTGCCCCTAAATTATGGAACGATCTTCCCCTTTTCATTAGAAATATATCTTCAGTTAATGCTTTCAAGAAGGCTCTTAAAACTCATTTATTTCAGAAGGCGTTTCCCAGCTAATTTATTGTTTTTATTCTCTTTATTAAGAAGGATTTGTATATAGGATTTTAAAGATTAATTTTTATTTTTAAATTGTTATTTTTACTAATTTTTAGGAACGGTCTGTAAATTTTGTTTCTGGAATATATACTAGGATTTTAGGATTTTGTTGAGTCAATGTTATGCGCAGATGAAAATTTCTTTCCCTGGATTGATATTTGCGCAATACAAATCAATAAATATTATTATTATACAATCAATAAATATTAAAAGCAAAAGCGCACACGCAAACGCCCAACTCAAGGCCGGGGCGCGACATTCATTATAACAGAAATGTCCTTTTTCACACTAGAGACGGATTATTCGTGTGAGACGGGTTATCCATGTGATGATTCGCGTCAGATAGGTAATACTTCTTTATTTGAAAGTGGAATAGCTTTAATTTTGAATGAACAATCCGCCTGACTTTATCCGTCAATTTCGACGGACAGTTTGAAGACGGGATTATCCGTTGCAGATAGTCTCTGTACAGCCACCCTCTCCCCTCAGAAAAAGTCGGAGAAGGGGTGTGTGTGGGGAGAGTGCGACTGTACACAGGCTAGTCTCAGACGGATAATCCATTTCAAGATCTAGCGTGAAAACGGCCAATAACAAAATCCCCGTGTCCAGTGTTTTTAATGATAACGACGGACTGTACGGAACGACTGTCTGCCGTTGCCTTGTCCGTAGGCCTCATTATTCCGCGCGGCTAATGCGTTTCGGTTCACGTGGTCCAAGCGAGTTTTTCCTCAGATACGCCACCGAAATGCCTTCACCGAGATTGCGTGGGAAGACGCCGAACAGGTACTAGGCATGGCAATGTCTACCTTAGCGTCAGAGAAAAGCAGGGAATTGTTGTTTATCAGCAACGTGTTTTACAAACAGTGACATCTCTAGGTGTTCTTTCACTACTATTTCGCCGGAGGCAACGACCTCCTGAAAATCGCAAATTTTGGTCCCCAGCAAGAAGCCAGATTTTCACTATGGAAACAATTCGTTCCCCGAGGAGAGCGTCGGAAATGGAGTTTAGGTCTAGGTCACAACTAAAAGGTGCTTGGCCAAACGTGCGTACGGAGTCAAAGTAGCCGGCAAATAAATAACGCAACCATAAGTGAGTTTAGCACCTTCCTTAAAATTAACAAATCTAGGGAACAAGTTTACGGTTAACTCTTTTTTTCCCTATTTACGGTTAACGGTTAAAATTTTTCAATTTTTACGGCTATCGACTAAATTTTTGGCCGTTTTACGCCTATCGGTTAACCCCATTAAGACCCTCTCCCTAGAGTTTTTGATATGTTGCAGTATTTCGAAACGATTTTGCCTTAAGCCAGGAAAGCCTTTGATCAAGATGAGGTGTATTTTTATAAGTGATAGCGGTACTGAAGGCCTGTGACGTCACCAATAACGTTCGCCATCTTGGCCATCATCTTAGATTTTACCAAGTAATAAAAATCAGCTTAAAACCTCAAGAAATGGTATATTTTTGTGCTTGACATATAAAATAACACATAAATAACCACTCTGCATCAAGAGAAGTTGAAAGAACACGCATTTTCACTCAAAAATGGCTTGACCATCTGCTACTTATGACATCATATCTCGTATCTATAGTAACTGACCATCACTTAACTTGTCTCAAAATGCGTTCGAGGGAAAAAAGAAAAGCTATTGAAAACGTCAGGTGCTGATGTTTTATCGTCTAGGAAAAACTAAAAAAAACCTCAGAGGGATCGGAGGAGGCAACTCCCCCACCCCCCACTTGTATGTCCGAAAGTTAAAACAAAATGCATTTTTCTCTTTGCGACCAGATGAAGAAATTTGTTTAATTTATGCCCATTAGGATAAGACCGGAAATAAATATGACGGCGTTCTGAATTAGCCAGCAAACGTCAGCAATAAAAATAAGCTCATGCCTGCTGTTTTTCAGTTGGTCAAACATTTTTATCAATAATCAATAAACTGGCGCCACCGTTCTGACAAACAGTTGTCTTAACAATTGTCTTTTTGCTCCTGAACGTCTAATTGCTCTAATTTGGAATCTTCCCAAAAATGCATTGAAACATATCCTGGACGTTGAACGTTACCTTTGACTTAAAATTGCTGTACGTATTTGCGTCGTTAAGCAACGTCGTTCAAGTATAAAACATCCTTACTGATCGTCAGAACCTTATTCACCAAAAGTTGGTAAATACAGCGGATCAAAACAGCTGAAAACTGAGGTACGTAAAGTATAAAACGCTTTACCATGAATGAAAGCCCATAGAGATGTTTTTTACTTACAATATTTCGTAGCCTTTTGATTATCTTTATACTTTGGTCATGAACGGCGTTATCGACACCACTGCGCCGTATGTGAACATATTTATCTGTTACGAGCAACAGTTAAAGTACCTTTTCTGATTCACTTTACCCCTTTCCCCAAGAAACGCTTAATACCCAAACTAGCGATTTGTAGATATGCTGGATTTATGAGTTGGATTTAAGTCTTTATTAAAGTCGCCGATGGGTTTTGTGTTAAAGTTGGTGGTGGAAATTGCGAGTTGACTTCGTAAGGCCAAATAACGCTGTGTACTGTAGTTAGTATTTTATTTCTACTTTTATGCCGAGGCAAGTCACTGGTCACCAATGAATTAGCCCTGTATTGTGAGTGAATTAGCATTGTGAGTTAGGTCTGAGTTGTTAAGTAAGCGAAGTCGCAACACGAATTGGAGTTTGCGGGTTGTGAGGTCACCGTTTAAAAGCCTTCACTATATTTTCTCACAATTTAAGTGTATTTTTCCCCACCATGAGGTCACTGAATTAAAAAGATGTACAAAGATGTGTGTTTAATGAAGTCAAATAACAGGTATTCTTTATATACCATCGAACGATTGCTAGTACCTGATATAAGAATACAATAATCCTTCGAGTAAGTAATACTTTATCGGACTTCTACAAACACCTTGCATTCGTGCAAACTGTTCTTCCCTGTATTAAAAAGGAAGAATTTCGCTCTCATTTCCATAGGACTTTAAACGTTTGTTAGCGGCATAGCATTTTTTGAGACAAAAAGGAATTTATTTTATTCTGCGGCTATTAAAAAAGGAATGATGTTGCACTTCATTCAATGGCATGAATGTTACTGAAAATAGAAAGTTACTTGAACAGGCCAAAACGTTTTTTACTCCGTTCTTTCATCTAGCGTAGAATCCTAAACACCGACTTGTATGTCGTCATATATCTTAGAAATGTTTTGCTCTTCAAAACATCCTTTATCATCGGTCAATTTCTTCTGTTTTTCGCATCTGAAGAAGAAAAGAAGTCATATAAAAGATTTCAGCGATGGAATTGAACGTTTTATTTTAGGGTTACAGTTTGATAAAATCGCTCCAAATGAATACAGTTCCACTAAAACTGACAAAAAATTTGCAATCCACACTCACTCCACGCAAGCATGCGATCCGCTGAATATCAAACTACAGTCCTGCTAAAATTTCTAATAATAACTCGTATAATTTGTACGAATGTTTTGACAATCATCCAATCAAAATCACTTCCGGTTTTTGGATTGTGACATGACTGAACAGTGTGAGCGCCCAGCTTTCAGACGACTCCCTCGGACGTTTGCGACTGTATAAGTCTATATAACTCTTTATTAATAAATCTGAGGCTTTTTACTTTTTTTCCTATGGATATACTTGGAAGTTTATAAGCCCTGAAGACAGACCCAAGGGTGTTGCTTCCAACCTCAGCGTTTATCGAGTGAGTGATTATCATATCTCCTCAATAAAATGTTTCTGTGACAGGGGTAATTATTACGTAGTTTAACTTATCCTGAAAGCGAAGATCTCCATCTTTTTCTACTGGATAAACAAGTGAGTTTTTAGCTGCTTTCGTCAGAACTCGAACTTCTAGATTTCTGTTTGCCCTTAGATGTCCTTAAATTTGAGTCTGAAGGATTTAAACAGTCCAGTTAGTTATCTCATAGACTATATGCGGCAGCTCCAAAGGCGGAACTTGCTTAGGATTCCTTGCTTAAATCCTAGTTTCGTAGAACAATTTTAAGTAATAATAGAAACTTGTCGTTACCAAAGAAGGAATTAAAAATTACGAAAGAAAGAAAAGTAAATTCATCTCCGTATCACTTCTTCCTTAAAATGACCATGACACACCAATCATAGAGTTAATAAACTATATTTGTAAAAACAAAATGCATTTGTCTCTCTGCGACCAGATGGCGGAATTTGTCAATTTATGCCCATTAGGACAAGACCGGAAAAATGAAGTATTAATTACAAAACGATCGATGGCGCTTTGAAATGACCATCTAACGTCAGTAATAAAAATGAGATCATGCCTGGTGTTTTTGGTCAAACATTTATATTTGTCAGCCCGATAAGCTGACACTTCAGGTGACAAACAACTGTCTTTTTTGCGTTTGAATTTGAATGTTTTTTTTTTTTGGGGGGGATTCTCCTGAAAATATATCGAAACATATCCTGCGTTAAATCTTGTTTGAGTTTTAATTGCTGGGCGTATTTGGACCTTCACAGGCAAACAACTCAGACAATTGAAGAAGCGAACAGCAGAACTCTTTTAGCCACCAAAAGTTAGGAGACATACAACTGATCAGAAGAGCTGGAAAATCTGAGGTACGAAGATAAAACTTTCAAATAACAAGAATGATATGGAAGTGAGAGGTGATCTTTCCTAGTACATTATTTCTTAGTTATTTCAGTGGTATTCTTTGTATAATCATGACCAGCGTGAGTGCAATATTCCTGTTGATTTCGGCATCACTTTCAGTGTATGTAAAATATTCATGTGTTATATACATGCGATATATATTGTAAAGAGGGCACCGAGTCTGTTCCCCTCTCATCCACGACTCCCTCCCTCCTTTCATCCTTCCTTCCTTCCTTAGTTTCAGCGGTCAAAAGATCTATCCGGATCCAATCATTGTTTTATTATTTATTCAAAATAATTTCTAGTTTAAGAACATTGCTAAAACATGCTTACTGTTACCTTAATCGATTGTTAATTTCCCGTCTTCAACTGCATATTTTATCGTCAAGTTCTGAAGATTCAATGAATCTACAAATAGCAGATGTCGTCTGAAAAGAAAGATTTAACATTGTTTTTCATTTCAGTATTTCTTCGTTTTGTTTTTATTTTTTAATTCAATAAAAGCCTTTACTTTATGTTTCACGTCATGATCAATGCATCAATTGTCCAGTTTCTGTATTTTTTCGCATAAACGAACTTGACTTCCTTTTACAGTTAGCACGGTTCGTCGCTCACGCCTCGCTGTTTCATAGTAGTATTTCTGTTGCACGGTTTTGATAATGATTTCAGCCACAGTGGTTGGATTGCGTTCACTGGAAAGTGATGTTTTTTTAGAATTCTTGTACGAGAAAAATGCAGAACTTTTCTCCATCAGCGGCATTTGCGATATAAATAATAAAGAACGAATATCGGGTGTTCCGTGGACACTACTGCACACAGACACCGAATGATCATGGCGACTTAGCGGACTTTTTCCTTTGCCTAACGAGAGACTTGTTTTGTATGAACGCATACTCGGACCTATGACGTGCCCGGGGGGGGGAGGTAACTCTATTGTTTTCCACCTAAGTTTCTTGACCCACTCCGCCTGCCAGTATGACGTCACATAGTAACGGGCAAGAGCCTTCGGTCACTTGTGCAAATTAGCAAGGGATACGACAGTTATGTGGACGAGGGAGGTGGAGGAAAAGCTAAGAAGCTAGCAAATATCGGTATATATCGCATATTTGATCGAATGTGTGAGAGCTTTGGTGTTGCTATAACTGCTTGTGTAAACCGTTTTGATATTTTGTGTCCGTGATTGTATAATTTTGTTAATTTGTTTTGCGGGCCGTGTTGCGGGATCGCCATCTATTTCACGGGACCGGCAAGATCATCAAAACTTAGATCTTTTTTTCCCTAAAATAGGCAAGGTCTAGTCTCCAGAATAGGAGGTTTCATTCACAAATCACACATGTTTATATTTCGTCTACTCTTTTGCTAATTAAACAGGCCTAACTTCATATCACTCCTTTCGAGTGTAGGTCTCTGTTGATCTCCAAATTCTCCACCAAATTCAGTAAAGCTAGTTCGATCGATTATCTACATCGAGTCGGCCCGTTGAACCGGAAATAATGCGAAATAGCTTTGAAATACGCGCTTAAGCTAATTTTCCTCAAATGTATATTTGAATTCACGATAAATACAGCTTCACCAGCTTCAAACAGCGTCTATGGCAGAGAACAATTGTTTTGGTGTGACAAAATTAATCATGAGGAGCCGCATAAAGTCCCTTTACTAATTACGCTGAGTGACGGTTGCTATGCTCAATTTCCTGTTATAATTTTACCTCCGATCTCGTGCGATGAAACAATCCTAAATTTCGCAACTGTCTGGTAATATGGTTAAAACAGTATTAGCCGGGGTAAATATAGTCGAGCGCGGTCTATTCAACTATTCTCCGGATCGGATCATCCCAATCAAGCCATCATTGTATGGAGTATATGTGAATTCTTTTTTAGGGTATCCCGGTCGAGAATTTCTGTGTTGATTCAAACTCATTTCCCTTAGAAGCTTGTTGGTATTTGAAACAAAATTTTAACAGATCGAACAGGTTAGCAGAGTTCCAAACTGAGATGGCCAGCCTTCCTTCGTCACATTGGTTCACTTTCAGAAGCGAGGCCATTTCAGCCTTAAATCAGTAGGTTTACCTTGCGACACATTAATTCTGTTTTTTTTTATGACTTGCTTAATCGTAAGACACCTTGAAGGTAAGGACAATGTTCGATTTTTTTCCTTTAATTTATTTATTTCTGCCTCGAATATATCCGCGCCAAAACCTCCTAAATGCCCGCCAAATTTAATGTGGCGCGCTCGGGAGTGATCGTACAGTGTTTAGGAAGAAACAGGCCCAGCACAACTTCCACTGGAGGCACTTTTGTGTTACTGCAAGAAGTACCCTTATAAAGAAGTCGAAAAGCTTTTTTATTATTAATTTCGTGCTACATTTTCTGAATAAACAATGGAATGTGTTGAAAATTGTAGACATCCGTGTTTCATAATACACGTACACACTTAGCGGCCAAATTGCTACATATTTTATCTTTTTACCGCTGTTTTGCTTGTTGCCGAAGTTTAAATGCTGCATCATGATCCAGTGCGATTTATTGTTGTCGTTACACGCTCAGATCTTTAATTTGTTTGAATTAATGAGAAAATTATCTTGTAGTCTGTAATTATGCGTAATATTGCATTGTTGAATGCGTTTACTGCCTATGAAAACAATCGTTTTCCTAGTAGTATATCGGATAGGCCAACTGACTCCCACTGGTGGCAAATTGTGCTACAAAACCATAAATAAGGGATATTCGAAGTATAAACCTCACAAAAGCTTTTGATTTTGATCAACAACGAAATGAGTGACTAAAACGCGTTAAAAATAACACATGCTCGTGTTACAGAGAGGGGGTTGAGAGTTGCTCGTTATTTGTAAGTCTCTGAATCTTAGCAGCTTTCTTTTTCTTTTCTATAATTTTTACCGGGGAATCGAAATGAATTTTAGTTGATTGGTTGCGTCCATCGCGGTTCCCCCCTATTTGTTTTTCAAAAAAAAAACACCATTGCAAGAACCTGTACGGTCTCTATTATTTTTCATTAACAGCCACAGAGCTTTAATTCACCGAAACTAAAACAGATTCATAAAATGTACATGGCTCAGGGTATTCTGTACGTGCCTTTTATGTTGGGTGTGTCGCCTGATTAAAAGCGAGCGATCGGGTGAGTCGCCTTCGCTTAGTGCAAGAAGACTTTGTAAAAACGTGTATATTTAATGAATCTTTCTGTAAAGAACGAGGCGGCCTAGAAAGCTTGAAAAATAGTTTTTGAAACGTCTTGCCAAATATGTTTTTATTTTGTTTGGGGATTGTTAAAATTGCGTTTAACTAGACGCTGTAAAATTCGCAATTGAACTTATTCTTCGGATTCAAAACAATGACCAAAGTTCCGTCTGCACGTGCTCTTTTGGGTGAGTCGCCTGAAAAAGCAAGCGATCGGGTGTGTCGCCTTCGCTTAGTGCAAGGGAACTTGGTTTTTATTGGTTATGGCTCGCAAGTCCGTTTTGAACGAAATAAATGGTTTCAGTCATAATTAATGAACATCATATAGGTGACCTTACAAGTTTGTATCATAAGAAAAATATAAGAGCCTTTTTACGCCGCGAACAGGATGAAATAGAAAACTTCACCGGCCTTTTCTCAAAAAAAGGGAATAGTCCCGCTTTAAATTCTGCTCCCCAGAAAAAGCTACAATGAAAATTATTTAAATTTATAGTTTAAATTCAATCAAATTTATTTAAATCGCTGCACTTCGTTCATTTGTGGTAAATAAATGTATATTGATTCTGAGGTATCCCCGGTTAGATAATTTGTGCAAAACTCCTCTACACCGCCACAAGTTTTCCGAGTGGTGCGCTGTTTCGGAGTGATTTTTATTTCACCAGGTTCTTTTCTTTAGTTGTGTTCGTCTCATCAGCTCCGCTTTATTATTTCTGTGGTGTCTGCTAAAATGATCCATTGAAAGATATGTCGAATAAAGCTCAGTAGGAGGTCACGAAAGGAGATTCGCATTTCACCTCAAGTATGGTTTCAAGCTGTCAACGGTCTATGCTTGGCTGAATTTAAACAATGGCGTCCTGGTCAGATGGTCAATTTTCCCCCATATTTCGGTCGCTAAGGCTTGCGGCTCGCCATGCAGATCATGCGTGTCACTGTGGTGCAGTGTCAAGGAGGTGCTTGCACCTGCAGATAAACCGGGTTCGACTCCCGGCAACGCTGTTTTCTGCTTCTTTGTACCGTTTTTTTTTCTGTTTGGTCTCTTTTTTAACACTATTTTTCCTTTTGGCCTTTTTTCTTTATTCTTACTGCTGACCCTGCTGGTGCATGCACTTGGATCAATATATATTTTGAGCTTAAGTCCGGAGTTTTATTTTGGAAAAGGGATTTTAAAAGCTCCTGATCTGCATACTGGCCAAGCTTACGACCAGAAAAAAACCATAAGCTGTCAAGAAATGTCTCTCCTCCGTGAATTTTTTTCAAAGTTAGTTAACATCATCACAAAAAATACACAGAACACCAAAAACTGTACTAATTTACACCCAACACCCACCAGTGACCCACTGGCGAAAGTTAAACTTGCCTTTTGTACATCGTCTTAATCATCAATATTATTACCCTAAAATCCCCACTGGGTTTGCCCCCCAAATATAATTGAACGAAACCTTTTATTGGTTTTCGGGATTTAATTTAAAAATTACAGGAGTATGTCCCATACAGTATTAAAATGCGGTAAAGCAACAAGATTAAATGCTTACAGTTTCTCACAAATACCTGTCATTTAGCTCCCTCTTTCAACGCTACAGCTAAGCGAACTTTGAGAGGAATGATATGGGGTTCCACTGACTCTAAAGAGCTGAAAATAGGCACAATGTAAAGTATAATACATCTTGATGAACCTCCTATTGCTGTGTCTAAACTGCTCAATTTTGCTGTCCACTGGCCCTCAAAAGTGTGATCGGTCGGTATGATTGCCCGTAAAATTTGCTCGACGATAGAAAGAAATCTTTAAAATTCATTACACCACTGGACATTCATTCCAAAAAAGTATTTAAGTCTAGTTTTCTATGACAATAGAAACCTTAAAATCTCCAAATGCAAGAAATCGGAACAGACTGTATTTCCGTGGTAAAATCGAAATTTTTATCCGTCTCTTCGATGAACACTTTGCTTGCCATTTTGAAAGTCACTGACGCGAGACGTGACGTCATACTGGCAGGCGGACTGTACCACAGATTTCCTTGGAGACACCTTCCCCCCCATGGACGTGCCTTACTTATAAAAAGTATTTATGTTAGCCTTGATGGCCATCAGTTTCTCTATTCTCTCGTTCGGTTTCCCCCAGTCCACTTAATTTACTCTATTTGTTTATTTATCTATATTATAATTATTTTCTCTCCAAAGCGACGTAATAAGGAATTTTTTTTTCATTGATTGAAATATTTCTGAAACTTGAACTAGGATAAAATTTAAACAACTGAGCAAACTGCTGCTCGGATCGTTCTCTGGAAAAAAAATGCATTGTTTTAAGGGGAAGAAGTTGTTATTATTTTTTTTCAGTAAAATAACCGTGTCATGGAACAAGTTCAAATTTCATTTTATCCATGTTTTCTCGGGAAATATATTCAAAATTTTATGTGGTATTCACGACTTACAAAAATGCAAAAATAAAAAAAACTTCTTAAAAGATATAGTGTAAAGAAGTATTTTTAAGACTGCAGTTTAATTGGCTTCTATTTTTCCATTTTTTTTTGTTCTAACTCCTGGTCTCCGCGGTCTCCCAGAAAGCTTGAACAGGCTTTTTGAAATTGACTTTGTTTGATCAAATAAACGCAAGGGTGATCTGCGAACGGACTATATAATTCCCTGGGGTACTTCTTTATAATAATCTGTCTCCGTCTCCGGGGGAACTCCTCTATTGAAGTTTCTGATAGGATCATATAATTATGTACAATACCTGCATAGATAATTATGTTTAAAAAGTTATTGTATGCAAGTAGGAGAGAGATTTTATCCCCAGTTTTTACCATCACCAGGGTAATGCATATATGGAAATGGGGTGAGGGATTTAAGGAATTATGCATCGTGGCATCACCGGCATTTTGCAGTAGGTTTTATAGATTGGATTAGCATAATTTTGGCACAATTGGCCACTACGAGTATAATTTTTATCTTTTTTTCTTAAAAAAAAACCAAAACACTGCTAGCATAATTTGCACATTTTGTTATAATTTTGCAGTACAAACTGAATTGTCATTTATTGAACATGCAACCAATGTTTTTGGTCCGAGATCTGTGTTACGGGCAAATTTAAGTAACGAAATCATTTATTTGTCTGTTTATTGTCCCATTCATGGGACCTGGGTCCAACAGGAAGTGACTCAGGACTCTCCCCTCAAGACTCAACGTGCGAACATAACAAGCTCGGCTACCTGGGGTGGCGTCCGCGTGTTGGTTGATTATTGTTTGAGTATTTATACTTGTCAGACAATGAATTAAGGACTCAAAGTTTCTTGAGGGTAAATGAGTTTGCCATTTACTTGTACATGAAGCATTGAAGTGTTTTTTTTTTTAACAACTTTAAAGTAAAAGGTGAGAGGCATAATTTCTGCATTTTGTTTGCTAAAACGAGCTTAATTTACAAAAATTAGCAGAATTATTGGCATAATTTTAGAAATATACGAGCACTGCAAGTAGCATATCATGCTACTTTTGCGAGCACAGTCTATCAAAGCCTATTTTCCAGGGTACCTCCTTCCTCCCCTCCCCTCCCCTCCCCTCCCCTCCCGCTAACTCGAGGTTATTAAACTTTGCGAGCCTAACTCTTTAACACCCACGAAATAAATTCAGTGACATGCTATGAACGCTGATTACTTTGTTTTCAACAGATTGGAAGATGGCAGGCATGAAAACATTAATCATTATTTTCGTTATCATGTTCCCAGTCGCGATGATAACAGAGGAAGATGTAAATCATGGAGGTAACAACTAACAACTGCGACATCACTAATAAATTTAATTGCCCACCTGCGGACTGTCGCCATTTTATTTCAGCACCCTGTCAAATGTTAAGTCTCTGCTTCATGTACAGAAAGCCGCTTAAATTTGCATTTTTACACTTTCCCTAAAACATTATTCCGAGGATTTATTCACCATAATTTTTACATCGTCCATAAAATTTGCATGAGAATTGTTTTCAATTTTTCCTTGGAGTAAGCAGTCATCATAAGAGAAATTGAAGACAATTTACTGATGCAAAATTTTTGGGGGGGTAAACAAGATGTTTTACGGGCGATGTAAAAATGGTGAATATGCTAACAACTTCTTTATTATATTTGTTTTATCATTATTATTATTATTATAATTTTTACACTTCAAAACTGCGCGATCAGCATTTGGCAAGATTTCTTTCGTTCAGTGTCCGTTCATGAATTGCTTTGCGCTATTGTTTTCTTCTCTAATGGATTTGAAATACATTTGCTATACAGTCAACTCTCCCTTAAGAAACACCTCTTTAGACGGACAACCCTCTGGTGTCGGCCCCTGTCATTGTCCAGTCATTTGACTGTAACTATGCTCTCTATAAGACGGAAACCTCTCAAAGACGGACAACCAACACTTTTGAAACCATCAGCGGACAATTGAGAAGTGCTTTAGGTAGTGAAAAATACCGCAAAACGGAAATGTAGGTGCACTACATGACAGTACAAATTGCAATTAGGGTAAGCAAATTACACACCCAACTACAGTACGCGTCTTCTTACAGCGCGTATCTTCTAAACGCCAAATGAAGATAACCTCTTAACCTATAAAACAGCTATGTTCTCGGTCTTTTAGCTGAACTGTTTGAGCCTAATGGGAACTTCAGATAGTGACATCAAAAACAAACCATTATAACGACTTATTTTCATATGATTTAGTACTTACGGTAATTAATGTACAGTAGAACCCCGGTAATTCGAATTTTGAAGGGGGACGAAATACAGTTCGAGCTAGCGAGGGTTCGAGTTATCGGGGTCGATTTAAAAAATTAAGTTGCCATGTTACAATTACATGTTTAATCAAGGGAAAGGAAATTTAGTTCGAGTCAGCAGGAAATTCGAGTTATCCGAGTTCGATCGCGAGTTAACCGTGTAAAGATGATTGGAAAACTTAAGTGGGGTGAAATTCAAGGGAAATTGGACTTAGTTTAGCATTAATGTTGCTGTTCAGTAGACGCCGTGAACGTTGACATGTATATGAACCATGTGTGATTGTACAATGAGAAAATGATTTCACCATTCCAGTACATTGTAGTTAATTTTTTTTATTGTTTAGCACAAGTGTAACAGATGTGTATTTATCGCGAATAAGTTCAGCTTTAATTTCTGGTAATTACTGGCGCCACCTTACTTTGACTGTCTATTAGCGGGACACCTCCCTTAAATAGACGGAGAGTCAGGACGGGACCAGAAGGTATCTGTCTTAGAAAGAATTGACTGAATTGATATTATTATTATTATTATTATATTATCGTCATTGTCATTATCATTATCGTTATCGTTATTATTATTAAATTATTATTATTATTATTTTATCGTCATTTTCTATTATTTTATTATTTATTACAATTATAATAGTTCTTATATTTATTATTGTTTTGCAAAGTTGATAAAATGCGGTTAGCATACAGATTGAAATTTTTTGTTCATATGTGTTGCTGCTTTCCAGTTTGTCCCGTTCCGATGAATAAAGAAGAAGAGGAGTTTATTAAAGAGCGGGAAAGGAACAGAGAACTAATGGAAGAAATCGCCAGAGAAATTGAAATGACGTGCTTAGGTAAGTTAAAACATGAAAATAAATAACAATATTAAAAACCTTGGATGAGCCAATCCTTCAGCGCGAATTGCACGCCCTTTTGAATAGTTTAACCCTTTGGGACAGTTGAGTGTGTTCTATATGGAACAATGCAGAGTTTGCATTTCTAAAGCCACTTACCCTTTTAGTTTAACCCATTTAGTTGTTAAGCACCAAATCCAGGAAGTTATACATACACTATCTATAGGTAGCCATTTTGAATCCTGAGGGAAATAACCCACCCAGCCCAGAGAAGGTTGGCCACACCACCGGGGTTTACGTCCAATACTCTTTCCAGTATACAGTGGTGTGGGTTCTTTTAGATCGCACAATGCAAGTACCAGATAAGTCCTGTCGGACCTACGGTTTTTATTCCTTATCCGAGAAGACTACAAAGTCTAACCGTTTTCAGATGTCGTTACGAAGGCAGCACTTTCTTCTCAGTTATTTAAAGAACCTGAGTGTTGGTCCGGCCGGGGTTTGAACTCGCAACCGCCCGCTCAGCAGACCGGCACTCTCCCGACTGAGCTAACCAGACGGCGGAGCTTAAAAAAAACTTGGAACACTGCTACCTTATTATGGAAATCCTGACTAATCTTGTGAGAGATTTAGACAAACATTTTGGGCAAAAATCCACTGCCAATTTCACTATTTTCCACTACTCTTACCAGTTTGAATTCCTCCTATTCCCGAAAGCTAAATAGCCCCATTCCGTGAGGTGAAAGGCTATAAGTTGAACTAGATATCTATAGAATAAAAGAGCAAACGAGAAAGCTCCTGAAAACGCTTATGCTAGCTTTTTTTTCTAAAATAGGCCAAAATTTTGCGACTTGGAATTTAATGGTACCGATTTAGATAAAAGATTTCTAGTCCATGAGCCATTTTGTGAGAAGTGGGTAAAAATACAATACTTGTAGCAACCCCTTATGGAAAATTGTTTCGTTGTTATTAAATGAAGACTTAGGATGTGCTAAATTGTGATCGGTCTGTTACCAAACTTGAGACTTGAGAAAAATTGGGGGCTTATATTAAACGGTTGCGGATGACGAGAAACTTTTTCCCTTAAATAATGAAAGTATATGCAAATTCGAAGCCTTTCTCTCAAGTTATTAACCCCTTTCAATTCGATCAAGCTTTTTCAATTCATGGTGACAATTGAAACTTAGGGTGCGTTTGATTGCATGAGAAACCCGGATTTAAGTCCGGGTTTTAGATTTGGCAATGGAACGCGAAATGCAAAACGGATTTCACCCTCACCCCCGAGAAATCCTTCCTCAAGTCATGACTTTATGGCTTTTCTTTATACCGTTCTAGTTGGAAAAACTGTTCTCGTGAACAGTGTCCTTTTTTTTTCGCTTGTTATGGGTGCGCATGCGAGACAACTGTTCTCTCAAAAACAGTTCAAATCTTTTCTCGTATCCCCGAAATACTGATTAACAAAGGTCAAATTTCACTTGTATAGCAACCACATAAACCAGCAACACCATACGATAACAGGCCTTTAAATGTAATATTTTTTGTTGGGAGTATTTATACCAACGTTTTCTCCATGAATTTTAATCAAGAGATCATAATATCAGTTGTTTGTGCTTACAGGAGAAACGTTTTATAATTAACTTTTACTTGCTGATTTGTAGACGAGTGTAAAACAGGACTACATAACTGCCACAATGATGCATACTGCACCAACACCAAGCATTCCTTCACGTGTACTTGCAAAGCAGGATATACTGGGGATGGCGTCAACTGTGCAGGTAACATAATATGGAGCTGAAACGAACAGGAATTTATCTTAAGTTATATGCTATTCCATGCCAAAAATAATACAGCCAAATGGAAAGGTAGAAACCTGTTTTCATATTCAGTCAGTGGTATGTCACAGGTTGTATCTACGAAAAGAGTTTTGGCCTTGGTAGGTGTAAAGTTGTGGCCTCCAATTTTTCCCACAGAAATTAATAGCAACGGAAATAATTTTAACCGCGAAAAAAGTATATTTAAAGCCAACGCTGCAATGTACGTATGTTAATACCGCAAAGCAACATTTGTATTCTTGCTTTAACAAAAAGTAATAATAATAACTGCTACAACTTAACTGGTCGAGCTCGAGCTGTATCCCCAATAAAGCACACAGGCTTAGAGCCAGTTAGGCTGGGGAAACAAAAAGTGTGACCGACATTTGTCTGGGACAGGAAACACCGAGCTCAAAGGCTTAGAAACAGAAAAAACTTGGGATCATCTTTGATATAACGAGATGATCTTCACTAATATACCTAACAAGGCTCGAAGGCCAATAGCCAGCTAGGCTGTTAGAAACGGTTAGGGCGCAGCATTTAAGGTAAACAGGTGTTTATTACGATTGTGGCTGGGGGTCTGTAGCATTGCCAATTTGACTGCGTCAGTCATTGACTTATGTCGCCACTTAAGAGCGGTCCCGGTACAGCTGTTCTAAGCGTACATTGAGACTAAATATACAAGATAAGGAACCGGTGAAAAACGGCGCTAACCGTACAAATAAAATAAGAAGTGATAAAATTCAGAAAAATGGCAGAGCTGAGCTGCCAACAGAAAAAAATGCGGTCAGACAGAGGCCAGAAAAGAAAACCTGCCCAAAAATCCACGAAGGGAAAAAATGCGGGCGAAAAATTTGGATAGGAACCAAGCCTCAAGCTCAAAGACGTTTCTACGGGACTTTACAAGTTAATCGAAATAGGCCGCTCCTAAAATAAACAGAAAAATTAGAAAAACCAAAGAAAGATTGTTTCAGAAGCGAAGATGACGTACACGCGATATTTATACGTAGCCTTGTATACTCCCGGTATGGACAAGACAAGAACTTTATTTATACCACACGGAAAAAAAGACATTAACAAAAGCGTCCTATAGCTAAAAAGCTGATCTAGCTAGGAGGCATTATAGATTAATTAAGAATATTTAATAGGTTCTTTCATGGATGCACAAGTACAAAACAATGTAAAAAAAACCAAACAAACAAACCAGTAAACAAAGAAAATAAAAGAAAAAAACGCATATGTACAGAATTGAATGACTGAAAAATTGCGGAACTGGACAAAAAATTGGAAAAGAAAGAACTTAATATGAACTAGTTTCCCTGGTCTAACACCCAGGTTCTGTGGTATTTCGTGCCGTCCAAATAGTTATTTCTTATTCTTAGCGGGATAATTCGTCATAAATAACATAACTTGCAACATGTAAAACTTTGTTCAATCATTTTTCACTGGTTTTATCTGCCATTTTACCGTTGTTATAAGTGCCATCAATTGAAATAGTGTTCCTTGCAATTGCCTTATTTTAAAAACTGATTTATTCATTCGTGGACTACCAGTCTCGGAAGCATTGCATTGCTATCTCTCATTCAATAGATATAAAACTGAAATAGAACTGATTCAGTTTGATAATTCAGCATTAAATCTTGATTTCCAGACATAGACGAGTGCGACACAGGAAAACACAGCTGTGACGTCACTAGTTCAGTGTGCCATAATACTATAGGATCCTTCGGATGTGCTTGCTGGGAAGGTTATTTTGAAGATGGAGAAAATACATGTACAGGTAACACTTCAAATCCTTTAAATGAAACACTCAGATATTTCGTAACCACGTCCCTTTCAAATCAATTTCCTCTGTTCCAAAGTGGTTTTTCACTAAATTCGCCTTAATTGAAGTCTCGTTAATTTCCATAATACCTTTTACTAGCACTGATCCCAGAGCATTAAGTTCCTTTATTATTCGTTCAAAATATTTCCCCAATTCTGATTGGCTAAAAGCACACGGATAATTCACCATAACCAATAACTGATGACCCAGTTTGGAAGAATTTTTTATTTAACGAGGAAATGACGTCAAAAATGCAGCCTTCTGCAGGTTAATGCACCGTTAACCGAGAAGACCTGGGAACGAGGCTGAGTTGTTTTCGTTGTGAAAACTAAAATGGCGGACACTTCACTCGTTTCAAGAGTAAGAACTACAGCTGGAACTAGGCGAAATAATGGCTAAAAACATAGCAAAAACAGCAAGAAGACAACTCGGAGGGCGACATCTGCTATTTGGAGAATATTTGCGGAGCTGGACAAACCTAAACGTACACTATCAAAGATAAACTTCACATCGATGCAGGTAAGCATGTTTTAGCTATGTTTTTAAACTAGGAATTATTTTGAATGAACAATAAAGCAATTAATGAATTCGGCTTAATCTCGGAGGGTGTTATCCACCTCAGTCTTCGGCCTCTGTGGATAACACCCTCCTCGATCTGCTTAATTCTTCGTATCCTACTCAGCTTCACTCATTAATTGCCAAATAATAAGTCAGGTATATTGTAATTCTAATAGGTCATTTTCGAGTTGACTCGAGCTTCTGTCTTAAAACCAGGCGAAGTGCGAAACCTTTTGATATGAACATTAATTTCAAAGGAGAAAGGTTTGAGGATTGACCTCGTTTTGAAAATGAAAATTGATCGCATGAAATGGCTATTGTGATAGGCCACAGTAATTGCTGTGATAGAAAAACTAAATCAGTTTTAATCATTCAGTGCCTGACTTCTTTTTTCCAGATATAAATGAATGTGAAGCAGAAAAGCACAACTGTCATGCAAACGCCAGTTGCAAAAACACTAAAGGATCCTTTGTGTGCACCTGCAAGCCAGGGTATTCCGGGGATGGAGTTAACTGCACAGGTTAAAACAATACCTCGTTCTTCTTTATAATGAATCTTTTTCTAATCAACTCCATTTATCTCGCATTAGAGCCAAGTTCAGCCACAAGGTAGTATGCAGCTTAGTCCCTAGAGCTGCAGTTTCTTCTTCAGTCTAAGCTGAATAAGTATGGAAATGCTCTTGCATTATAAAAGTTTGTGATTTGCAGTATCTTTATGCAATTTTACCCCCATACATGCTTGAAATATTTAAGTTTTTTAATGTATTATTATATTGTGCCCCTACAAGATTGCATTCTCTAATATCTTGCTTTCTTAGGTCTCGCTAATCCTCTATCTATACACCTGATGTCATTAACTTTTTTGTGAATTTTTCACCTGCTCAATATATAGCAAAAATGTTTTCCAGTATAGCGACAAATTTCGCTCTCCCTCTCTCTTCTTATCGTAACCAATCCTAGAAAATAAAAGGTTAAGTAAATCAGTTTTGATGATTTAGTCCTGCATCTGATGACGTAAAAGAGTGTATAACAGGGGAGCTCAATTGTGATGCCAATGCAGCCTGCAATAACACTGGAGAATCTTTCGAGTGCACTTGCAAACCTGCACAGGTCATTATATTTCAGTAAAGACCTGGATCGTCTTAATGTTAAGGCCAAATCCACCGCACGCAAACGTAATGAGCGTACTTAACTTGATGGTGGTTTACCGATTTATAAAAGACAAAAGGGTTTACAAATGTGTCACTAATATAAGGAGCTTCCACTATACTTTTGTACACGTTTTCAGGAGTTTTTGTAGGCTGTTGATATTAAATAAACTATCATTGTTGTTTCTATTAATACAGGCTTACTATTGTTATATTACCAAATGCTAGACTACTCTTTTGATGCAAGATTTATTCATCTTTAAATGTCCTTAAGTCTTTTTTAATAATAGAATTAAAGTCAAAAAGACTAATACGAAGACTGATCAAACAAAGTGATAAAGGGTAAGGTATACAATATTTCGACTGGCCAATAACAGTCTTCAACAGATTTATTAGGAAAAACCACGAATATACAGAATATATACTACTGTAAAATAATAAACGGATGTTACATGGTATGTCGTGGTCGCTGCACGAAAAAATTGGATTTACTCCAAATTTACTCAGTGCAAATTTGGTGCAAACTAAGGTTAAATAAAGGGAAAAGATGGTAAATACCGCATTTGCCCTAAAATTTACACCCCCAAGTAAACTAGCAAGCAAATGCGGTACTTACCATCTTTGCTTTTAATTTCCCAATAGTTTGCTTTTTTTTGCACCATATTTACACCAAGTAAATTTGTGTAAATCCAATTTTTCGTTAAGAAAAATAAACCGCGAAAAAGATAAAGATTACATAATGATTATAGTTCGTCACGTTTGTTCATTCCCAGAGGCTCGATGGTTTTGGCTCTATAAATGAGGTGCGCCTGACGTCCCCCTCTACTTTTCATCGCTTTCTTTACTTCGCACCGCTCTCTACTATCTGAACGCTTGGAACAGGCTATCCTAAGACAATCGCGTTCATATCTAAGTGTTACAATTTGGATAAATAAGTAATTAACATATGGGGAACAGAGTGGCTTTTGCTGAGAAATTGTTCTGAAACTGCCGTTTGGATGTAACTATCGGAGGGGTTAAGTATAGGGCGTCTAGTATATTTTTTACATGTAATCATGTTACAATTTAGGATTCCATTTCGGTTACCTCTCACCCAAAATATGAAATCGCCAGTTTTTGTGAAATACCAGGGCAGCAGAAATGAAAGCAATAAGAAATAACCGTTGCAGAAGATATAGGCCTCAGTTGATTATGCTCACACTATAAATCACTAAGATCTCTGTTTTAGCCCTAAAACCCCCTTATTGATTATGCTCACACTGTAAACCAGAAAGATTTGTTTCAGCCCTAAAAATGGGGCCGTTTCGGTGAGCAAAATACAGTCCTATTTTTGATTCTTATTTGGCTCCCTTAAATTAGGGCCAATACTGTCCAATTACCTGATGATTGATAACCCAAGGGCCCGATCAAATGGGCCCCAGCGTGGGCTGGATTAGCTTTTTTTGGCCATAAATTGGGCTAAAACGGCTGCAGGAGCAGCTGAATCAGGCTTTGGCCAGCAGGGCTGAATTGGCACTTTGGGGCTGAAACAGGTCTTTTTAATTTTCAGTGCACTAAATAAGTCCCTTTCTCCACAAATCCGGATATTCTCTTTTACATTTTTTAGTTATGGACGCAAATTTCGGTGTAATCAGTTGGCGTGTCACCGACTTTAAACAAAAACCCTTCGGCATATCGTTCGCAAATCGGTGTTTACTTCATTGGTTTTTTTAAAAAATGTGGCGTCTTACATTCTACCTTGATTCTTATTTTCCGTCAGGCTTTTAAGCATGAATATAGCAATGAAAGCAGTTGGTTTTTGATTGTTTTGAAATAACAGGTTACTGCTGTATTTGTACTTTGTAGAGGGCTGCCCAGACGGATGGCTTAATTATGGATCCTCTTGTTATTATGTCAAAGATACCGTGACGAGGAAACAGAGCGATGCTCGTCAACACTGTCAGAATTTAGGGGGAGATCTGGCCATAATCAAGTCAGAAAATCAAAACGACTTCATTTTCAACTTGACACGGAGCCAAAGCACATTCACAAAATGGGGTGCTTGGATTGGAATGGAGCGAAAGTACGACGGAAAATTCTATTGGATTGACAACACTCCATCAGAAGGAAGCTACTCGATCTGGTCTGGCGGAGAACCAAATAATTACAGAGATAGCGAAAATTGTGTCCAAATGTATGGGAATACCCCACTGGGGAAAGAATGGAATGACTTGTTCTGTGAAGTGGCTAACCATGATGCCCCTGTGATAGTGTGCCAGAGGTCAATGTGAGGCGTTAATTGGCAGTCAGCCTTGAAAAAATTATCTGGAACATCGAAGAAAGATACATAAATAAGAACTGACGAGCATGTTTTCTGTTAGAGCTAATGAGTAGTTAAAATTAAATGGCTTTGAGATGCTCATAATGTAATGTTCTCTGTTTGCGCGTTTGTTTCACACAAGCTGGACAAAACACTGACCCTCTGACCACCCACCCAAACAACCCACCCCCCCCCACACACACACGCACACACACACTGACCTCTTTACTGTTAGCCCCTCCCCTGGAAATTCACTGGGAAAATGGGAAAAGGTAATCAAATTAACTTCGCTCCGAAAGAACTTTTTTCATGTGCCCTAAATCTCCATTATTGGTGGTAGACAGATGGCAGGCTTGAGGGTTTATTTCATCCGAAATTTTAGTTCGATGAACGAGGGCCAGCTAATTTAAAACATAAACTTTGTTTATGCTTGCTATGATGACGATGATGATGATCATGATAAAGCAAAAGCTTAGGAAAGAAATACAAGTATGTGAACAACCGGAAGTTCGTTGTAGCTCGGCCTACTTACACCACTTATATAAAATATTTTTTATTCTTCTGTCGAAACCTTCATGGACGATTTTCATTCAGAAAACAGATATGTTTTAATGGTTTATTGGAAATCATTGAATGCAATCACTTTTGCGGGAGAGGGGGTTGTTGTACAGCGACTGAAAATGGACATCTGCCATGATGAGGAAACAGACGTGTTCCAGGGAGCCTGGTGACAAGCTATTTCGACTCCCAGAAGCACTTCTGCTATCGATGTTTGTCGATTGCAAATTTGACAAGATATTATCAGAAACAGCATCGACTTGCAAGAGAAATAATTTTTGGAATTACAAAGAGAAATGTGATTCCTGAAAAGTTCCGCTGTCGTAAGGCATGGGAAGCAGCCGTGAATCTTATAGACGGCGATCGAGAGATGGAAGGGAAGGGTAAGCCATAAGCTGATATTCAGTGAATTTAAGGATCCACATACACGTTTAAAATATGACGCCTTTAACAGTTGAGTGTAATTTGATCTTGAATATACTGAATCCCGTCTTCGATGGACTAAAATCGAAATGACCCATTTCAAAATTTGTTTAATCGTTAGTAAAAGATATTGTCTAAACAGTCAGTCTCTATCACACTTTCAACAACGCTAGGCGTACATGCATATGTGAGAGGATGTAAACAAAGTAAGTATTTTCTGAGTGTCGTTTAAAGGCACTTCATAGCCGTGAACTTTATGACTAGAAAAAGCGAGAGAATTTCTAAGTAAAACCCCTTCTTTAGGGTTTTAAACGTAACAGAACACCCTTGACTATTGTCATGCAGTTGGTTGAATTTTGACAAGACAAACCTCATCCTGTCTAGTACTGACCGTTTGATCGTTTGTGACCTAATTGCTCTTTAAAAGTTTTAATGTTTCCAGATGGTGCTGCTGTTGTGATATAAGGTATTCTTGACAGCCTGTTTAGTTATTATAAAACACCGTGACAAGACGGTCTTAGATCTCAGTCCGGATGCAGGAAGTGGCTGACACTGCCCATGCATGCGTATCTAACAACGACATGCAGAATTATAATTTGAGGCCGATTGACTAGACACTTGGAGAAATTCTGTTTTTGAATCTAGAAATTTGCCGAAGAATGTGTGGTTTGACTAGTAGCACCCTGCAACCTAGCAACAGACCAATTTCGATATTTCAAATTCATACTTTGCTGCGATGCTTGGGGAAGTGTTGTTGTTTTATTCATCCTAGAGTTACAGCTCGGTAGTGAATTGTAGTTCGAACCGGGATCTGGTCTTAGACTGCGCTGCATTTGGCACTGTTCAGATATCTATCGATCAGTTGCATGTACGGTCATTTCGATCCAGTAATCTCTATAAAAGACTCCGTTGTAGTGGGTCTTAGCAGGCAGACGTTCTAAAACAATGTGAGCTACAAACTTTTCTTTACGGGACACACTGAGAGAAACGCTTTGTAGGTAAGTGGTCGTCTGTTTGTATAAGTCGTACAACCTGACTTAAGAGTGAGCAGATTGGACTGAGATAGTGGGATTGACGATTCACGGATTCTTCTGTCCTTTACAGAACGGCTTACAATCGCCTCCGGCACAATGAAGCGACAACAGAGACTGAATTTCTGAAAGTGCGAAAAGATCTGAAAGGTTACGTCATCGGGAAGGATAGGTGTTCGATTAAAGAGATCATAAAGTGTTCGGGGGCACTCATCACATCGCCGCGAAGAAATGATGATGGGTGTTGTGAGGGGGGATGCTGGACAAAGAGAATGTGCTAAGAGACTTATATTAGAGAAAGCAGTAAGTGCGGTGTGTAATAATAACATAATAACAAATATTATGGATTTGGGGTGATTCAGTGTTTGTTGTTTGTATAAGGCTTTGCTTGCATGAACCGTTAGTCTTTCCATTGTGCTCATAATAAGCCATCAAATAAATTAAACATTTTTCCTGTCTATTGGAGATATAATAAATACAGTTAAAATGCTTTTAATACTAGATTTATAATAGTTGCACGCGAATTGACAAATTTACTTACTTCCGGGTGAGGACGTCAAATAATTTCTCTGGCTCTTTCCTATACAGCACGAATTACAGGTCAAGAAATCTGAGATAGCTCCGACTTTTGAATTGGTCGAAATTCCAAGTGAATGCAAAGGCTTTGTGATAGGTAGAGGAGGAGAGAACCTGAGACATATCAGCAGTCAAACAGGAGCAGATTTGATACGTAAAGATGATAATGTGTACCTGGCCAGCGGAACAAAAGAACAAAGACAACATGCTAAAAAATGTATCATAGAAATGGTGGTGAGTCATCTGCTCTAATCTATACGGCAATTATCGGGCCGTGATTACATGAGACCGGTGAGAACACATACCAGTAAGAGGTGAGATCAATCTCAGTTGTAATGCCTGCTTCTGCTAACTGAAGATATGGGTTCTGAGGTTATTTGCCATAGTGGTGTTATGTACAAAGGCCCATCTAAAGGCCCGAGTTCATGAGACCTTAACAGCCTTAACAATATATATATATATATATATATATATATATATATATATATATATATATATATATATATATATATATATATATATATATATATATGTTTCATTAAAATAATTAACTTTGGCCACAAAAATCATCCCTCTGCGAATACGTAAGTACACTGCATGTTACTAGGTTTAGCCTTCAAAAAGACTGTCTGTATACAGCTGGTTATTTATAGTCTTCGTTGACAGCAGGTAAAACAAGACTAATAAAAAGCCCACTGTTTTGTTTTCTGGCGTAAACGCAGAGGAGGAAGTCAGACGAGAACGCTCCACACGGTGAATTAGTGGACATTCCAAGCGCATTCAAGGGATTAGTCATGGGTAAAGGGGGAGACAATCTCAGTTTTATAAGCACTAAGACAGGAGCAAAACTGATTCAAAAAGATGGTGAGGTGTACATAGTAAGTGGCACCGACGAAAAGAAGGAGCAGGCCAGACTGCACATTAAAGTAGCTATGGTAAGTATATTGAAATAGCTTAATTTCCTGTTATGATATTTTGACAGCATTGGCAATAGACAAATCCATTATGTGTAAGGTAGGTTTGAGAAGCAAAGTGCTACTCAAAGGGGCTCGAACCTGGAACCTCAGCCATACACAACCAACCACCTCTTCAATCCATACACAAGATGCAATAGCAGCTGGTTTAACATATACAGCAAACAGTGCTCAAAATTTGTCTCTAGGCCGGAGCAAGACTCAGGGGTTCAGAAAATGAGTTCGCCAAACCTCGTGTCTACATTGATGGCTGGAATCTCCCTGAGGACTGTGAAGTTAAACTGAAGAAGTTGGTGAAAGAAGATCGTATGGAACATCCAGGCTGGGATAAACAGTTCAGGCTAATACCGTCTGATCACAATGAGCCACAGGTTTGCCAGAATGTTTTGTTCTTACTTCCCCAAGCTACGTTAAGATGATCACATTTTAGCCACGTAACCCAGTGTAAAAAGTGTAGTGCACGTGTAACCTTGAGTTATTACCGGTTTTCAAAAGATGTCATGTCATGTGTCTGTTCTCAAAGGCCAAAGGAGTTAAATTCCTTACGTTATGCCTAGCGTCTTTCTCTCTCTGTTTCATCGCTTTTAAAACCCTTTTATTATAGCTACTGTACTGAGGTTACAAAGCTAGCAAACCAAAAATTTCCCTCCGTACTAAGCCTCACTTGTCCAAAGGAACAGGACACTGAGGTGGTTTCCTTTCTTACAGCACTGATAACAACTTTTGTACCACGTTAGTGTAACGTGTGTTTATTAAAGCCGACCTACCTGCCTTTTGTTAAGGTCTCCAATTCTACTGAGGACCCACCCTAGTCTCCAAAAAAAATAAAGGAACAAATGAAGAGAGAAGAGTACCTTAAGGCCGACATGTGGTGTCACTTTGGAAGAGCTATCATCCGGGGACCTGACGAAGGTACTTTCTTTCAGTCATGCCTACGACGCTCGTAAGCCCACGAGATTGCGACTTCCCTTCCCAATTCTGAAGAGTTGGATGCACGCCCAAAGATGTAGATCGATAGATACCCCGTGGAGCAAAGTTTCTTGTCTAACCAAACAGGGGCTCTTTGCTCGTTCCAGTGACCTTTCGAGGCAAGATAATTACAATTAGAAACAGTCCAAGATTTAATGGTTTTAAAAGTAAGGAAACGCCACGTTCACGACACAAATAAGGCTAGAATCTGCAGCTCGTACTCTATTCAAACCGACGTACTTTTTTTATTGTCTCAGAGGAAGCTGAGGAAGGAGAGTGGACTATCGAAGATGTAAGGAAAAAGTTTCAAATCGACAATGGAGAACATCTCTGGAGAACTTCATTCAAGCAAGGAGTTGATCTAGATGAAAACATCTTGGAAAGAATCAGTGACTGCGAAAGCACTCTGGAAGAATATGTTGACTATGTGGCAAGATTTGACTTGGCATTTTTAAGACCACGTCGTAATCAAATAAGATTCAAGGTAAGACCGCCATTAAACGCTTTCAACATGTTCGTCTAACATCATCCAACATTAAAACAGTGACATACCATCAACTGACGTGATACAAGTGACAACTCACCGCTTTGAGGCTGAAAATGACTACCACACAGGTTGTCAAAGCTTCAGTCACTGTTAACAACAGTCGGTCCTATTCGGGACTACACTCTCCAGGATAATCATATTCCACCTGCTTATCATCCAACACAGATGGATGCAGCATGCTGGATGCATTTTATCTCCTTGTTTGACGATGTTCTCACATTTTAACGGATTCAACACCAGCCGACAGTGTTGGATGATGTCGTCTTAATCAGTCGAGTGTTCGATTGAGCTATTGGTCAGGCGATGATGGTAACTACGTGACCTTCATTGCTGGATGATGTTGAACCCACATGTTAGTAAACACTAAGCTCAAACACCGACTTTCACCATCGTCCTCTAATATTGTAACTACTGCCTACTCTACTCACCCTGGTGCTCCTCTTATAGACTCGACTAAGGGGAGCCAATGTCAGTTGATATTCAATAGCCCAAGTTCGATATGTTGGAATTCTAACACGACTCCGAGGCCTTCTGGTCATATTTCTGTATTTGGTTTCTTTGTGGTGAGGTCTTTTCTGGGAACTGCGCGACAATGGAGTCGTGAAAAGTTTGCAATTTTGTCCCTAAAGCCTCGGAGTCAAGTAAGTTTTTCACTTTATCGAAAGTGGGCTGTTAAACCCGAAGTTTGGGTATTTAAGAAAAGGTACGACCGATCTAGAGCCGCCTCCCACTGGATTACTATACTAGGTGTCATTTGGTTATTAGGATCTGCTAACCTTCCACCTTTAGAGATAATTAGGACTGCATACTCGGGGATTAAATTATACTTGATAGACAGGATTAGTTTCCTCTAGTAACTATTAGTGACATCGTCGTGAGGGTAACGGGTCGGAGGAGCTCTTGTGGCCAATCGGAAACACGGAAATAGAATGCTTCTGGAAAATGTTAGCTTATATTTAGTGCCCAGAGGCGTCTTCCTTTTTCTTGTAAATCTTGTCTGAAATGATTTCCGCTGTTAACATTCCCGTTCCGTTTTTGCCCCCACCTGGTCAATGAGTTTGCTAGTAATGCAAGAGAAAATCCTCAATTCAGACCTTTCTTAGCCTATTCTCTCTAGGCGTTCAGATAATGGAGAGTGGCGCAGAACTGGAGGACTCACCTTTTTTGCGCCGGCCCTGCTATCCGAACGTCTTTAACCATCTAGACTTTGCTCTTCTTTCACAGGTTTGGATCACAAGAAACAACACTGGTAAAAAGTTGGAAGACATTCCAATTCCTTACAGTGATGTGAAGAACACCCTGGAAGAAATACATTTTAAAGACGAGGCTACGCGATCAAGGTGTAGAGGATGGCTGGTGCTTCCATCAAGAAAATATCTGCAAGTAGATATTTTATTACCCGGTTGCGAGTTTGATTGTAGGCTCGCTATTCGTGGGCGAATGGGTATGACTTCGATTAAAACACACTAAAGAGTGACAGTTGTAATAGCTAACAACCATGAGTAAAATAGAAGAGGGTTAGTAGAAATGACCATCGAAATTTTTGTGGTTGAAAATGCCGGATTTAATAGTAGACGAAAGGGTTTCAAAATTACTAGTTTGGGCGCTAAACGGACCCTAAGAGAGACATTTCATGAGGAGAACTACGTCTCTAGACCCTAATTACTCTCCTGGGGTTTTTTGAAATTACTCAGAACGTAATTTGGGATTACGTTTTGGATGTTTTCAGCTTTTGAGTAACGAGAGGAAACATAAGTCGTAGCCACCTTTCCTCTCGACTAAAATCGGCTGGTTACAAAATGAGACAAATCCTGAGGTGGAGGATGAAGACGTTGAGGTGGAAATAGCAGAAGGTGATCAGGCGGACGATGAAGATGTTGAGGTGGAAGTTGCAGAAGGTGATCAGACGAACGATGAAGATGTTGAGGTGGAAGTTGCAGAAGGTGATCAGGCGAACGATGAAGATGTTGAGGTGGAAGTTGCAGAAGGTGATCAGGCGAACGATAAAGATGTTGAGGTGGAAGTTGCAGAAGGTGATCAGGCGAACGATGAAGATGTTGAGGTGGAAGTTGCAGAAGGTGATCAGGCGAACGATGAAGATGTTGACGTGGAAGTTGCAGAAGGTGATCAGACGAACGATGAAGATGTTGAGGTGGAAGTTGCAGAAGGTGATCAGGCGAACGATGAAGATGTTGACGTGGAAGTTGCAGAAGGTGATCAGACGAACGATGAAGATGTTGAGGTGGAAGTTGCAGAAGGTGATCAGACGAACGATGAAGATGTTGAGGTGGAAGTTGCAGAAGGTGATCAGGCGAACGATGGAGATGTTGAGGTGGAAGTTGCAGAAAGTGATCAGGCGGACGATAAAGATGTTGAGGTGGAAGTTAAAGAGAATGTTGAGGCGGAGGTTCAAGAGGATGTTGAGCTGGAGATTGATCAAGTAGAGGTAGGTACAGTGTTATTAAAAAGAACACTTTTGACGTGAGCTTTCAATTAGAAAATAATTGTGAAAGCTTATTTTTCTTTTCTTTTCTTCTTTTTTTTCTTTTTTAGACAAATGAACAATGTGCAACATGCAATACCCTCAAAAGTGAAATAAGTCAATTGAAAGGAAAAGTCACTAGGCTGAACAGAAAACTGACCACCAACCAGGATCATTGGGTGAAAACATTCAAACAAATTCATGGACAAAATAGGCTGCTGATGGTTGATAAAGGTAAGACTGCTTAGCTGTTACAATAATATTAGGTAGTGTTTTTGAAAACAAGTGACAACATTGTGGATTACCAATAACCATTTCAAGTCTACAATAATGTTTCAAGCTTATAAAGTATATATAAATACTCAGGAAACTTTCTCTTCAATTGCACAGTAAGATTAACAACAATCATCATTAGATAGTTTTACCAACAATTTTTTTTTAAGTTGAGGTAGTAGTAATTTCCTGTTATTATGATTCAGCTGTCCAAACTGACCCAGAAGTGGTTGCTGACAATGCCGAGTGTGAAGAGGAAACTGAGGAGGATATGGAGTTAAATGATGAAGATGAGGAAGACAACAGCAACGATGATGAGGACCCCACATGGACCCCTGAGGAGATTGACTGGGAGTACCAAAAACTGAAAAACGAAGATGACAGTGAAAAGACTCATGACAACCCAAGGTTAACAAATAATACTGTTCTTTCACTTTGTTATACTGAGTGGTGCCCAGAACTATTATAAAAACTAATTTAAAGGCAAGATTTAAAATGGTCAACAACAATAAGTGTAATAATCCTTTCATTAGTCTTCTCTATTTACTATCTTTTTTAGACTTGACCTAAAAGGCAAAAATGTACGGGAGGAGCCAAAGGGAATATAGTCTTTCTCTCAAAATTGATGCTGCTGTTCGAGTTCTGTCACCTGTGCCTCTTCCCAAACCCTAAGGTGGCTGTTACCCAGACTGGAGCAATGCTGAGCATTGTAACTGAGTGCAGCAAGTGTGGTGAGACATACACCTGGAAAAGCCAACCTGATCTGATGGGGAGGTTTCCAGCTGGAAATCTGTTGCTGAGTTTTGCTGTTCTGTGTGCTGGAGCCTCCATCAGAAAGGTGCTCTTGGTGTTTTGGCACATGAGTGTGTTGGCTTTTCATGAGCCGACGTACTACTATCACCAGAGACATCTCCTCATACCATCTATTGTGGCATTCTGGAAAAAATATCAAAGCAGATTATTGGAACAGTTGAGATACAAAGAGGTGGTATTGGCTGGAGATGGACGTCACGATAGTATGGGCCACTCAGCCAAATACGGCACTTACACAATGTTCTGTTGTACTATAGGACTCATCATCCATACAGTCCTTGTGCAAGTATGTATGTTACTTTGCCTTCCATTCGTTTGATCGACACTTATGGTCAATTCGATATTTGGACATCAAATTTTACCCCACTATGTGAATTGGATATTTTGTTGCTGTTTCAAAAAACTGCATTTTCATGTATTTGCCTTGGATAGTTTTATATAATTTTCTTCCTTAAACATTTAAAATTGGAGTTTTTAATCTTGACAATTGTAGAATTTTGATTGCTTTCTTGTCAATTTCATCTACCCAAGGTTAAAATGTCTATGATAACTGTGCAATGCCTTACATGATTATATGCTAAAAAATTCTACAATCAACCTGGGGATATTTTTAGTGTTTGATCTTGACCATTGTTTAGATGGCATGTTTTTTCTCCTTTAATACTTTCAAGCTAACCAGGCGGGTAACAGTTCAGGTATGGAGTTTCTGGCATTCCAAAAGGCTTTTACATTCCTTCTGGGGACTGGGATGATCATCAAATCATTTATATCAGACCGCCATACGTCAATCGCAAAATGGATGAGGGAAGACTGTGCTGCAAAGTGTAATGAGCTGGGAAAACCAGTTGTGAAACATTTCTTCGACTTGTGGCATATTGCAAAAAGTAAGCATTCTTTATACTGAATCAATGACCACATGCCAGTAAACAGAAAAAAAAATGTATCTCTTATCATCCAATTGCTATGAACAGTTTGATTATTACTGGTTAATTTTTCTTGTAGGCTGTGGACTTACAATAAAAAAATTCTTTGTTTTAGAGTCTTATGGGTGGACATTTTCTTTTCTAAATAAAGCAAATAACAAATCAGAAACTTGCTGAGAATACTCCTATATATGTTCTAAGTCAAAATTAAATTCAGGTTAATATTTTTACCTAGGTTGATTCACATGTCCTTTGTCTCCTAGCCCAAATAATAATATTATTCATGAATTAGGGCTAGGAGACCAGGGAAACTGGGATTCAGCCTGGGTAATAAATTTTAACCTGAAAACAATTTCGACCAGTAATGTACGTATCTTTCAGAAATTCAGAAGGTGCTGACACAACTCAGTAAGGAAAAGGGATGTGAAATTATTGGAAGATGGCGGAAAGCCTGTGTACGTCACTTTTACTGGGCAGTCACCTCAACTCAAGAGCATCTTGGAGAACTTAAACTGGCAAAATTCCAGGCATTTCTGTCTCATGTGATCAACAAACACAGAAATTTGCCCAATCGGCTATTCAATGCTTGTGCCCGTGGTGAAATTGCTACCCCTCGTGTTTGGATGAGGAAAGGTACAAAAACATGTTGCAATGTACTGTTGTTATGTTATTCCTAAAACAAACCAATCAAAACCTGTTTTCGGTACTGGCACTGCAAGTAACTACTATATTCATTTTATCTTATGTTTTAGCATCAGAGGCATATGAGAAGCTATGCACTGAACTAGGAAAGAAAAGCCTCATCAAGGCTATCAAACAGGCATCTTCTGTAGAGCAGACAAGTGCCCTTGAGGGTTATCATTCAGTAGTGAATCAGTTTGCCCCAAAGATGTTTGCTTTCTCTTATCTTGGATTACTTAGCAGGTACAAGTGCATAAATATTTGTTATATTGTCATGGTGTAACTGACTTATAATTCACATTCCTAGTAATGAGATATCTGATCATACTGGACTTTACTCTGTTTCTCTCTCTTTTATTTTACAGAACAATACTAGCGGCACTGCATTTTAATTATAATCTGAATAGAGACAGCAAAACTGATGGTCAAGGGAGGCCTGTGCTTTATGTGACTTACCCTAAATTCAAGGAAGGAGAGGCTGCAGTTAGGGAAGCTAAAGTCTCAGCAAATTATGGTAGTTATTGATCAGTCTCTACATGAATAAGTTCAATCAGACTCTCTCTATTAGGGAATTTGCATTATATGCTTGTTTGTTTTTTTTTGTTAGATTATGTTGCAGATATCTTTGAAACTCTAACCACTACCTCAAAGGCAGACCTGAAGTCAATGGCAGGAGAACTTAAGGATGAAGTTCCTGAACCTCTGCGTACAATGTTGGCTGAAAAGGAAAGTAGGGAGGAGGCCATAGCTAAATACAGACAGAGACAAGAGAAAGTGACAACAGTTTGTCCTCCAACTTGTTCAGGTATGAGTTCAAAACATGAAAACTAAAAAAATGGCATTAGGGAAAAGAAAACATGACTCACTTCTACTGTATCTCTACGTATACATGTAGGAACAGAACTGAGATTAAACGAATAAGTTTCTAATATTTCTGCATTGTCTTTGATTTGCTGTGACAGAGGAAGAACTTCATCCACCAAATGAGAGGGCAGTAACACGCAGAAGAGCTCCCCATTGTTCAAAATGCGGAAAACCACGACGAGGCCATAAAAGGGGACAATGTTAATGAATAGAGTCCTCTCAAGAACTGCAGTCTACATAAACCTCAATTGATAGAATATAAAGTTTTTTCCCCTTATTTTTTCCTTAATTTTCCTTTTGAGACAGTTGAAAAAGATTAAAATATATTATAAGTCAAAATTATAATATTCAGGTTAACATTTTTAAACATAAGTTGGTTATTTTCCTGAATATTCATGAATAAAAAGATTTAATAAGAGACAGAAGACAAAGGAATTTGAGAAACAACCGAGATTACAAAATTTTAAACTGAATGTAACTTTGACCTGTAGGATAAGAAGCACCAAACTTATTATACTTTTACCTTCATCATGCACAAGTTTTAATCTATTTACATGGGAAAAAAGTAGCTTTTCCACCTTGAGTTAAATAGGCTGATTTAGCAACAGAACGGGAACGTCAGTTGACGACGGCGCGCGCAAATCGAACAACTGGCTTGACCAAGCTTTACCAATGGTTGAGCGCCAAATGGGGCACCGGAAGTCGACGTTAGTTATTTCCGCACGCTTTCCTGACGTCAAATGACGTTCCCGTTCTCTGGCTAAATCAGCCTAATATTGAATTCTCAAAACTTTAAAGTTGTGTCTGAGTCATTAAAATGTATATTGGCATAATGTTCTGTTGTTGGTCATGACTTTTATTACCTTTGGTGGCTCCTAAAGGAGCCTTTTTTGTTGGTTATACCAACTATATGAATCAATCGTCATCTTCAAATCCATGGTAATTTTGACTCTCTTCTGGAAACGTTTTTCTAATCATCTTGTAAGCACAGTATGGCAGAGGGTATCGCCGGGAACTGCCAGTAAAATCCCATAGCAGCCTGGTAAATTGGCGGTATGCCACTGACCTCAAAAACCTTTCAAAACAACAAGTTCAGAAGTTACTTCTGGGCAAGTATAACTAGTAATAACCAAAGGTAATGGAGTGCGGGCAACAACAATCAAAGGTCAAAAAAATTTAACTCCATCACTGTGCTGGGTGTACTTTGCATAAGCTTCAAGTGAGAGATGGTAAAAACACGTGTGATCAGATTACAGAGTGATTACAGAGTGATAGAATGTCCAAGGGCATGTGATCAAATTGAGTTCTGTGCATTTCATTCAATCTTACTGGAAGTCCAAGAAATGGTGGCAACCTACATGCGATGCATGCGTAATAACAACCTGGAGATTAGGATAGCGGTTTCCCCTGCAATTATTTCCATTTTGGCACAAGACACTTTTAGTAACAATAACAAATACAGACCCACATAAAACACACCCACATTTTTTTGGGGGGCTAACTATTTATGAGGCTAATTCACTATGAGCAAATATGAAGTGAACTCAATTGACGGTTGAACTAGTTGGGTGTTGACTCACTACTAGGTGAAATCACTGGGTTCAGTATAAATGGAAGGAAAAATCAAACACCAGCTAAATAAGCAAACAGTAGAATCACAAAAGGTGAATTTTAAAACATCACAAAGCTTTTGTATTCAAATGTTCAAGACTTTATTTTCCCAAGAGAACGTGAGAAGTGGTAGTAGTTAGGAAACTTACTCTGACTGTGATTTTCGTCCTTGGTCATACAATACTCGGTACGACTTTCCAGATTTTGTTTTCAGTCCCAATGCTGCTACTTCTGAAACGTGGTGATTGAGGCAGACATCCTGGAACCCAGGATGGAGCGTAATACCCTGACTGGTATCGCCAAACCTTTCCATAACTTCATCACAGCGGTCGATTTCCCGGCAGCACTGGCACTCTTCTGGTTTAGTGGTGAAGCCAACTGAGCAATTCGAGCAGAAGCACCTGCAGTCCCAAAAGTACAGAAACAATAGTGTTCGAATATAAACTGGAATAAAAAATGAAAGAGATTACGAATAATATAATTAATCGGAATAAAGATTCTAAAAGCCATTAAAAAAACCTCGGCGATAACAAACTAGGACTCAGTTTGCATGGTAACAGAGGCGATCGGCGGCGTCAACAAAAACTAATAAGTGCAAACAGAGGCTTTCATGTTTACTTTGTAATAAAGTACGACCAAACAAAAGTAAAAAAAAAAAACAACAGATAATTGCTCAGAAACTTAAACAAAAACATAGCGGAGTTCCTCTTCAAGTTCTTCAGCCATCCTTGCATCTTGCTCGGCTGCTTCCTCCTCTGTTGCCAGCGGCTCTAAATCTTCTTCGTAAGGAACGAAGTTAGACAAATCTTCTTCCATGTTATAAACTTCTTCTGTGTCGCTTCCAGAAGAACTGGAGGAAGACGATTCGGATTGCGACGACATTATATTGACGGATCGATCTAAACCCACAAACTCTTCCCAATGCAAATCTTTTGGTTGATGTTTTACGTCACAGTGCAGAGCTCACGTGGTCAAACGCAACACCGCTTTGCGGAGATCTCGCGGGCTATTGTTTTGCGAACCGTGTAATGGCGGACGGTATTTACGCACTTTTTGGAAGGAAATTTCCAGCCCGCGGACGCAAGTAAGGTTCAAATTTTTCGCTATTTGTCTAATTTTGAACCTATAGAAAAGATTTATGGGAAAAAAACTCGGGAACAAAGACAAAAATTTTCGTCGTAGTAGCATTTTAAGCATATTTTCAAAGGCTATAGATGCAATGAGTTATCTGTAATAACCCCAATGACTATTTCTCATGGGAGCCCGAGAAAATAAATGTCAAATTTCAGAAAATGACATCTTTCACAAGAAATCTTCAGAATTTTACCAGTTTTTACAATTCCTCTGAAATTTGAAATTCATCGTCTCGCTTAATATACGGATACAGAAACAATTTCCGCTTTCCGTTGTCGTATTTATTGACTCTTTGGTTGTCTCTGCTTCACAAGACGCTGGTGGCTATGCGATTTCCCGGCGAAATATCCTCGAGTTGCATTTGGGTTGCCATACCTGTTGATTGAGTTATTTTACATTGGTTTGCCTGTGATTTGGACGGACGGTCGGTCGGGCGTACGGTCACGTGATTAGCAAAATTTCTCGGATGGGTAGATTAACACATTTTTTTAGGTATGGGGCTACGCTCTGGCGCACTTCTCGCGGGCGAGCGTAGCCCCATACTATTTTCCCGTTATTTTCTTGCAGACCGATCTTCATCTACACCGGAGAGAGTGGGACGAGTTGCTCAATAGCGGTGAATGGGAACCTAAACAAATAACTGCGAAACTTCCAGAGTTTTTTAGGTTCGTGAAGGAAGTACAACTATTTGTTCTTCAAGAAATGCGGACAAAAACTGATTAATAGGGAGTTGTACGGGTCTAGTAAAACGAGAAAGCCATTTTCCAGGCTAAATTTTATTTGTGTGTGTTTTTGCCTTTTAATTCTTGCGACTTTGGGGCCGGGGAGAACCGAAGTACTCGGAGCGGAATAATCTCCCGGACCAAGTACGAGAACCAACAACAAACTCAACCTACACACGACCACAACAGTGGGACTCCAACTCAGGTACACATTAGGTGGACTGCGAGTGCCCTCAACGCTGTTCAAGCCATACTTCCCAACATGGTTGAGACCTATAGGTAAATTCACACAGGGCGAAATGTTAATAATGCTGTTGAACATTCAAAAGGGTTTGATGCCCGCTCATGTAACTCACGACCTTGTCTTTGGAAATAGCTCGTACTCTAAAGAGAAAAACAGAGCAAAGAAATAAATTTAATTTGATTAATTGCTTTCAGAAAAGTATCTGTAGGGGGTAAGTTCTGACGGACGCGTTTAGCAAGGGGGTGTTTACAGGAGAAAACTCATACTGGCGCGAGTTTCATACCGGGATGACTTCTTAATTTCGCATCGCGTTATGATGACTGGGTCATCATGTAAACGTGTTGAAGCTGATGAAGCCATCTAAGATTGACAAAAATTACTCATGCGCTACTCGTTCCAGTCTTACAGCAGATCGATTTCACTGCAAAACGAGTGGTAGTTTTGCGTTTACATGATACCGTTGCGAAATTTTGTACCGGATTGAAATTCTCGCTTCGGTACAACAACCGGGGTGAACTCACGCCGGTGTGACTCGCACCGGTATGACATTTTGTGGTGGTATCATGTAAACAAATACAGAGCCATGAGAGGGAACCGAAGTGAACTCGCGCCGGCTTGAAATTCGCCCCGGTGTCACGTAAACACCCCCCTAAGACGAAGCTCTCGGAGCGAACACTGAATCGGCCTGAAAAAATACTCCACTCTTTCACTTACCAACGACGTAACTACTCGTCGTGTCAGTTTGTGTAAAAAAAACACTGACCCGACCAACAGTCGAAAGCAATGCGACAGTCAGTATAAAAATTGCAGAAGGAAATTTGGACAGTACAAACGTAAAAGCAGTTGGAATCTTTAACTTGTCGACCCACTCCTTGAGACCAAATGCACTGGACAAACAGTACAATAGCAGTGCTTTTAAACATCAGTTACATTCTTATTTCACTTCGCATTGTGTATCATCATTAAAAGATTTCAGTTGTATTACATTCGCTAAAACATTATGTTTGATGCGCTTTAACTCGAGAAATGAATATTATTTTAGGTGTAGATGATTATAAGTTGGCAAATGGATGGTCAGAAATTGATACTAATAGGCAGTTTTGGTGTCCATTTTAGAGAAGGGCAAAAAATATTCTATAGGGGTGTAACCGTTAAGATGCCATCTAATGATCCCTGAAGCTTCAATTATGTGTGAAGCGACAAAGGTAATAAGAAAACAATGTGTCTATGGCTAAAATGACTCAGTGTTGATCAAAGTCATCGGGGTTTTAAAAATGACAAATTACAATCCAAGCCGTAATAAACCAAATGGGACAACTTAGAGCGGAGGAAAATAACAGCTCCAGCTAAATTGGAAGTATCATGGGAACCTGTGTTGACTTCACCTTGCAGTAGCAATTAAGGAATGATAAAAGGTAACAGAGAATTAAGCTCACAGGGCGCCAGTATGTCACAAAATGAAATCAAGCTTCCTGCATTAAAAGACGGACTAAA